AAAACGGAATACGAATAAGAAAGTTCTGATTATTTCCAAAGTAGTATTTACTATATATATATATATATACAGTATGAGGTATGGGAATTTCAAATTGGCCGAATCGGTAGTGTCACTGTCATGTAGTGCTAGAAAGCCTTCCGATTTGTCCCGACACCAAAAATAACTAAAGCAGCAATATATTCAAATGTATGAAACAGAAGGGTCCTCATAAATAATCAACTGAAAACGTTTGTTCAATAGGAACCCCGGTTATTTCTTTTTTTAAATTTTGAAATAATGGGCGAAGGGGCAGGTGGGGAGAGGGGTTATCTGCCCCCTTGCCCGGGAATTGACGTCCCAATGAGAAAATCATTACCGTGCCTGACATGGATTCACAGTGGCGGATCCAGCCGGCGGTAAGAGGGGGGGGGGGGGGGCCAATCCGTGAGAAAATATTAGTTGCGACTCAGCCGTCGGTGAATAAGCGGGGGTGGGGGGGGGGTGGGAGGCACTTTTTTTTGGTCCGATTTTTCAGGAAATATTTTGCGCCGACTCAGTCAGCCGGTGAATAAGCGGGGGGGGGGGGAGGGAGGGGGGGGGGGTGAGACCACTATTTTTTTTTTTTGGGGGGGGGAACTAATTCGTGAGATTTTATTTTTTTAAATTCTTTTGTTGTTGTTGACCCGTCAGCCCCCCCCCCCGTGGATCCACGCCTGCAGAGGATCCAGCCGGCATCAAGGGGGGGGGGGGGTAGCTAAATCTTAATACAAAATTGTGCCGTCTCAGCCGGCCGGCGAATAAGCGGGGGGAGGGGCGCTTTTGTTTTTTGTTTTATAAAGGTTAACTTTACGTTATTATCCTATTTTGTTATCGTTTTTTTTTTGAGGGGGCGGGGGGGGGGGGCCGGGCCGGAAAAATCGCTATGTGGATCCGCCCCTGTGGATTCATAGCATGAGGTACTATGTAGAAAATCGCCAAAACATAACGATGTTGATTTCCAGAAATTGAGGTACGTTTGGTGGTGAAGCCGTGACCTTTCTTTCTTTCTATTTTTATTCAAGCCGAGGGTATGAGTTCTTAAAATATGTAAACAAAGAACACACTTTGAAAATGATTTATAGCTATAACTGGATTTGAGTTCCAACAATGATCTCTGCAAGGGGTCGCTAGAAGGGAGGGGGGGGGGGGTTACTCTAAAATAAAATGTTTTGATTTTTCATCCTATTTTGCCAAATTCTGAAACTTTGATCATCTGGGGAAAAAAAATTGTCAGTCTATTGAACAAATTTCGGCTCCTTTATTGTATATCTTGTTGAAAATGAAGAAAAAAAACAACTTAAGTTGAACTTGAATTTCACCATCCCGATTCTAAAGATGTTCTGGTAGAGCCCCTATTTAGTTGAGCATAAATTTTCTGCTGCCATCATCTAAAGTTTCCCCTTTATTACAATTTCTGTTTAGACCACCCATTTTTCTAAAGATTCCGGTACTACATGCGTTGAACCTGCCCCCGTTTTATAAACACCTTCATGTTAAGTGTCAAATTGATGAATCAAACGAATGTTTGCTTGTAAACTCAGTATGTTCAACTGGTAACTTTGGTAAGGCATTAATCCTCATTACCAGGTCCCTGTGAGCTGACCTAAAGCCGACGGCCGTCTGGTTGTTTACTTACAAGCATATATGCTTTCTTAGCAGTCAGGTAAAATAACCACCATCACTTACTTACACCAGAACAAACCTAGAAGTCATTTCTCTTACAAGCCTCCCCCCCCCCCCCTCACCCTCCCCCTTCCCTCTCCTGGCTCTCCATTCTCTACCTCTCGTTTCTGCCCGTCTCTCTGTCTGTCTCTGTCTCGGGGGTTACTTCTTTTTTTTTTTAAGGTTCTTTATTCTGAAGGTTCGTAATTTCGAAAAAAAACGATAGAGGGGTGTATTATCTCACTTGGGAATTATGTATACCCTTTTCCATTTTATCCTTACGAACCCTTAAAAAAACACGAACCATCGGAATTATAAACCTTCGGAAAAACTACATGTAACCTTTACCCCGGTTTTGATCTCTCTCTCGTTCCCTCTCTATCTCTCTATCTCTGGCTTTCTCTTCTTTCTCTCTTTCTCTCAATCTGTCGCTCTTTCCACCTGTCTCCCACACCTCTTCCAATCGCAGTCTTTCTCTTTCTCTCTCTCTATCATCCCTTTCCAACCCCTCAATCAATCCCTTGCAATGTTCCTCCATTTCTGCCCCTCCCCCTCTCTCTCTCTCTCTCTCTCTCTCTTCCTCATTCCCTTCTTCAATTTCAGCCTACTTTACTAGTAAGCGTGATAATTCAATTGAATTCAATTGAGTTCAAAATGGTTTGTTAAAAAGTACAATCAGGATGGATGAAACAGAAAAGAAATGGGAAAGAGAGAGAGAGAGAGAGAGAGAGCGAAATAGAGAGAAAAAAGGAAGAGAGAAAGAGAGAGAGAGAGAGAGAGAGAGAGAGAGAGAGAGAGAGAGAGAGGGGGGGGGGTGCGGAAACTGCAACTGGGATTGAGGAATACAAGGAAACAGAAGCTGTCCTAACATGGACAGAGAGAGAGTTGAGAAATAATGATGAAAGGAAAGAGTTAAAGAAGGAGGAGAGGGAAAAGAGAAAGGGAGGGGGGGGGGAGAGTAGGGGAACACACAAAAAATGGATGCAGTTATTTATCATGATAAAATTGATTACACTACCTTTACATAAATATTCATATACTGTTATGAACATCTCAGCTGATTTATAATTTCAATTAAAAGTTTGAGACTAAATCATTGCTAATTGTCATTATATAAAATGAGAATTTTTTTAATCAGAGAAAAGGAAAAATATGGTAATGGGATTTGCAAACATATTGATGATTTTATAATCATTCTAGAATACAATCTAAAAAAAGATTAAACCAAGGTACTCCACATAAATAAATAGTGCATTCATAAATTGTTGAAATTTCTTCTATCGTGATATTGCTTCTCATTAGATAATATTGATAATGCTCTACCAATGCCATCATTATTTTTAAGGGACATCGCCTATAGAGGGATGGGGGGGGGGGGGAGTGGAGTCTGGTATTTAACACCCCTATTCAAAATCTTCTATCGGCAAATCTCAAAATCTGATTACCTTTGTTTTGTTTTGTTTGATTTTTAGTTTTGCCTTTGAAAACAAATGAGAAAATCTGTCGGCCAATTTCAAAATCCGAAAAAAGGCGTAACATCCCCCCCTTCCCCCTCTCACCCAACAATTCAAAATTGTCTGGCGGGGGGGGGGGGGGCCTGAAAATGTGTAATTCGGATTTTCACGCCACATGATGTAAAGCCATAAAACTATATGGGTGAAACAATTTTCTGGGGCACTGTACTCTTTTTATAGGGCAAGTCTCAACAGTTATAAATAATTTTTAAAAGAAGATCATGATATGGAAGAAAAATATACCTGAAATCTGAAACTCAACTCAAAGTCGGGATGCAGAATCGCGAATACATGATAAACATCGTGATAGGTAGGAGTCGAACAAATATGACAACGGAATTCAGGGTTACATTCCGTTTTGCCGAAAGTGCGTTTATCCGAAGATTCAAATCCGGAGATTTCTTATTCAGAGGTTTCTTTATTCCGAAGGTTCATTGTTTTGGAAACGGAACAGGGTACTAAAATTCCAAAAATGAGACTGGGTTCGTTATTTCGAAAATGAAATATGGTTCGTAATTCCAAAGGTCCGTTTTCCGAACATGAAACATTCCTTTTAATCATCGGAATTACTAAACCTTCGTAAAAGGAAACAGAAACCCCTGAAGGAGAGACTTGTATGTAAGTATTGTCGACATTAAAACTCATATATCTCACTTAACAATTGTTACATTTCAAAAAATAAAATTAATTTATTCGCCTATGTACAAGAGATCATATCTGTCGATCAAATTATATATACAGCATCCATGTAGCTATTCTGTTTTCAGTACTAGACAGATGTCTTATTGTTTTTTGGTGTACAAAATGTACGTTGTAAATGTAGAAAAGTGTCAAACTAGAGGCCCTTTGTCTCCTGACTAATTTGAAAGAACCCAGGGGGTGTTTCACAAAATCTAAGATCGACTTTCAGTTGGACTTAACTATGGCAGGCCGATCACGCCACTGTTTACGCTCACCATTTTACTGGCATTGGTTTCTCTAGGGACGTACAAATGATAGTCACAAATCTACAGAATTTACATTTTTTGGATAATTCATTTTTGAAGGAAAAAATATTATCTAAAGATCAGAATGGTGAGAGCAGCTTGTGGCATGAGTGGCCTGCCATAGTTAAGTCCAAATTAAAGTCGATCTTAGTCTCTGTGACAGCGTGACACCCTAAAATGGAAGCAATTCTTTTAAAGGCTGGATGCAAATCTTTATAGTGTTGAATGTAGCAATTAAAGACCGCGATACAACTTTTTGAAAACACTTTCACTTCTCAAATCCTAAATGGTGTTTCCCTTTAATTTCTTTTTAAGAGCGAAGGGGCTTATTTCATAAGCGTATTTTAGAATTGGCGTTTCATTTTTTAGTTGCGACTGAACGCAACTTTTTATGCAGATGGGCCTGGGTCACCATTTCTCTCCAGGGTACGAAGTGGCAAATGCAGGTTAATGTCTTCCCAAAGGATATTAGTCGGTTAGTTCTCGGCCGACGTTCGAACCCATGACCTTCGTGTCGCGGAGTCCAGACAAAATCCCTGTAAACCACTCGACAATGACATTCCCTGTTATGATATGGATCAAGGTTAGTTCTGATTGTCTTTGTTTATAAATAAACGGGATATCTAGAGGAGGAGGCGGGGGGGGGGGTAGAGTGGAGAATGTGCATTAGCCTGAAACCAAACAAACTGTGGACATGGCAGATTGCCGAGTTTAGTGTCAGCCTATCAAAGATTCAATCTTGACGTTATGATGGAGTTTATCATTTTGTTGAGATAAACTAGGCTGTCACAATATAACCTGATCGCGATATGTAACACTACCCGGCGTGAACGGGCATTACTGGAGGTAATTTGGTCGTGTAGTTTTACTCCATTTAGGGGGAAACTCGGGGAAAAGCGGAGCTCTTACTTCATCAATCATACCAGATATAGAAATGCCTGCACGAAGAATGAAACAGCACGAGGATAAGAGCAGAAGAGAATGAAGAAATCATGAGACAGTCATTATTGCTGGCATGTTGAGGCTTGTATGCAAGACATCTTGCTCCAGCGCTGTTCCTTGACCGAATGAAAGTTTGAAAGGATTTCGGTTTAGTTTGGTACCTGGACTTGAGCTGAGAGACAACTGTTTGTACATACTTCTTCAAGATGTGTACCGGGATTATGAGAGTTTTATTTCTGCTTTCCCTCGTGTGTTTAACGTCACAGGTAAGATATTCATCTATCCATTATTATTTTGTTTCTTCCTTCGCTTATTTCTTTCTTTCTTTCTTTTTCTCTTTTATTTTTTTGCCTCTTATTTTCTTCTTCCTTATTCTAATAATTCTATTTTTTTTTGTTTTTATCCTGATTTTCTTCGTTTTACTTTTTTTTTTGCCCATTGCTTGTGTAACTGTCAATTTGTCGGATATGTAGGCATTACGGCCGTTGCACATGCAAAATACAAAATTATTTTGTTGATGTTCATCGTGGGTTTTGTGTTCTTTATCACCCTCAATCGCGTCGGAAGCAAAAAACCCTTACAGATCTTCAAGTTATTGACCTCTTTCCTGGTGATAATATATATATATATATATATATATATATATATATTATTAATCACATTTATAAGTGCATAGAAGAAAAAGAAATTCTAATGAGAAAAGACACCTTTCACTAATCTTTAAATCAAGTATGAAATTGACACATGATTAAATAGTATTTAATGTGCCAATTCCACCATAAATGAAGCACACCTATTTGATTGTTAAAAAAAATAATCGAAGATTATATGAAAAGGAAAAGAGTAAGTATGAAACGGAAACTCGTTTAAATGAAAATACTCTAAGGTAAGAAGCATCATAACTCTTGCATACATTGAAGTTTGAAGTTTGAAGTTTTATTTATTCCACATTTTACATAGACAAACAGTTTATATTATTTATTTTTTTGTATAAAGGCGTATATTATTATAAGAGTAGATTTCACACAAGATTTCAAATCAAATATAATGTACGGAAATAAGTACGAAATGTCGAAATATGTATATGCTGTATAACAGGCTAGCTAGAACATTGTTAAATGTGGGGAGTCTAGATAAAAAGCATAGCTTGTATGTGAATAGGCTCCCGTACCGAGTAACACAATATAGTAGGTCTGGATTTAAAAGGTATTATATAGGAGGTGAAAACGGAGTAGTATAGTATGAGATTCCAGAGACGTAATGATACCATGGCTATTGGATGTTAGTTATGCATGGTAAAAATAGGAAGACGATCAAAAGAATGCTGCAGGATTTTTTTTTTTTTTTTTTTTTTTTTTTTTTTTTTTTTTTTTTATTTTTTTTTTACAAGCATTAAACGTGGTTTTACTACAACACACTGGCTATTTACAAAAAAGAGTTGAAAATGTGAAAAAGATGACAAAAATTGAATTTGGCTAAAAAAGAAAGAAATATTTTTAATGAACATACTGAATAAAAACATCGACCTGTTGTATGTAGTGTTTTTGCCATCCCAAATGATTGAAATAAAAAACGGAGCTAGAGTCGAGAGCAAGAGTAAAAATCAAAATCATCAGACAAAATCTGGAAAGAAAGGGGGAAACAGGAATGAGTTTGGGAGAGCTGCGAAACACGATTGAAGAAATACTGTACGAAAAATAAAACTGTTGCAAACGTGCTTTTGCAATCTCACCTTGGCTATCAAAATCATGTTCGTGATAAACCTCTTGGGAATATACTGAGAAATATCCCGGGCATGTAAATATGTCAGAAAAAAGTCCATTACCCTCGGCTCCACTGTTTTCTTTCAAATATGAACTTTATGATGGACCACGTTCTCTTTGCAATTAAGGAATAGTTGTAAATGAAAACGGGTTCCACGGATGAGATTGCATAAGTGATGAAAAAGGAAGATATTGAAAGAGTGTTGGTGTATCTACAAATGGGAGGGGCATATGTACACGTGACCGGGTAGCACTTGAAAGGGGGCGGAGAACAGGCGTGGATCCAGGGGGGGGGCGAGCGGGCCTTGGCCCCCCCCCCCCCCCCCCCCCCGCAAAAAAAAAGGAGACAGAGAGAGGGAAAAGAAGAGAAAGGGAAAGAGGAGAGAAAGGGGAAAAAAGAAGACGAAGGAGAAAGGAAAAGAGGGATGAAGGAGATCGGGGAGGTGGGGCAAAAGGACTTGCCTCCCAGGCTGTTGCCTCCCCCCCCCCCCCATCCCAATCAAAAAATAAAAATAGAAGGAAGGAAAGGGAAAGATAAAAAAAGAAGAGGAGATAAAGGGAAGGAAAAAAGAGGAAGAAGAAAACAAAAGAAGGGGGATATCAGTTGCAATTTTCCCGCCAACAGATTGTGGATCGAAGGGGGGGGGGGGGACAAAAGGCCCTTGCCTTAAAAGAGGAGAGTTAAAAGGGAACAAAAAAGAGGAAGAAGAAAGAAAAAGTAGAAAAGAAAGGGAGATCAGTTGCGGTTAATCTCGCCAACAATGTGTGGAGCGGGGTGGGGCCAAAATGACCTTGCCCTCCTCCAGCAAACATAAAAGAGAAAGAAAGAAGGGAAGGGAAAGGAAAAGAGGAGAGAAAGGGAAAGAAAAAGAAAGAGAATGAAGAAAGGTAAGGGATATCAGTTGCAATTTTCCCGCCAACAAGGTGTAGATCGGGGGGGGGGGGGAATAAAATTCAAACGTGGTTTATTTCTAATTCCATAACGGTGATTTACAAATAATGCTGAAATGACATAATTTTAAGTATATCATACTTTTTTTATGCGTTTGTTGAAAAATGACAAACTCCTAAATTTACAGCCAGGCAAGGAAATGCTTCTTGAGATGCCTACATGTCAGGGCTCGCGGAACGGCGGGGATCGGATCCTCGAACCCCCACCCCCCCCCCCCCCCCACCACACCCACTTTTTTGAAAAAGTATATTAAAGAGAAAAAGAAAGAAAGAGAGCAAGAAAAAAAAAAAAGTTAACTGCCAGTGTCACATTATAATGAGGTATCAAAATATGCTCATCTAACCATGATTAAATGCCTAAAACCCGAGGCTCTGCCCCCTGGATTCCACCTAGGGCCTAAGGCGGGCCCTTAGATGCTCATCTGTTGGTAATTTAATGCCTAAAACCCCTGATTTCTGTGGGCTTTGCCGCCTGGGCCCACGCCAATAGTTTCCTGCCAGTGTCACAAATAATAAGGTATCAAAAAATGCTCATCTGACCGTAATTAAACCCTAAAACCCCTGAACTTCCGGGGGCTCTGCCCCCTAGACCCGACAAAGAGCCCTAAGGCGGGCCCCTTGATACTCATCTGACCGTAATTGAGTGCCTAAACCCTTGGGCTTCGGGGGCTCCGACCCCTGAACCCCACGCCAATTAGTAACCTGCCAGTGTCACAATTAGGTATCAAAATAATGCTTATCTGACCGTAATTAAAAGTCTAAAACCCCTGAACTTCGGGGGCTCTGCCCCTGGACCCCGCCGAGGGCACTAAGGCGGACCCCTGAGTGCTAATCTGACCGTAAATTATTGCCTTAACCCCTGAGCTTCCGGGGCGGACAAGGTATCAACATATGTTCATCTGACCGCAGCGCGTAGCCAGGGGGGCGGTGGGGTGGTCCCCCAAAAAATGCCGGCCAAAAAAAGAGAGGAGTGAAAAGGAAAAGGGAGTAGACAAAGAACATTTTGAAATTCAGACAAGGATTACGAGTCGAAAACGTTACAACGATTCGTCTTCTTTCTCTAATAATTTAATGAAACGTAAAATCTTCCGCGCTTCGCGCGAGAGGGGGAACCTGAATTTAGACGAAGATTAAGAGTCGATAACGACACAACGAATCGTCTTCTTTCTCTAATGATTTAATGAAACGTAAAAGCTTCCGCGTGAGGGGGGGGGGGACATAATTCAGACGACGATTATTTTTGGGAACGGTACAACGAATCGTCTCCTATCTCTAATAATTTATTGAAATGTCAAAGCTTCCGCGCTTCGCGAAGGAGGGAGGGGGAAAACTCGTCCCTCCCTGCACCCACCCCCCTCCCCAATTACATCACTGCTGGTCACCATTACATACCAATATTTGGCTTGCATAATTTCAAATTTGGCCCCCCCCCCCCCCCCCCCCCCCAAGAAATCCTGGATCCGCGCCTGGTCGGCCGTCTGGTTGCTTACTTACAAGCATTTATGCTTTTTAAGCAGTCAGGTAAAATAACCACCTAATAACCATCAATGACGTGGGAGATAAAGTAATACCGTATGGCACTTGTGTTTAAAGGAGAGTTGGTTTCTGTGGCCAAGAAAAGTTCTATCTATATGTAAATGAGACAAAATGTGAAGGTATAGAAAATCCACATTTTTAATCACGAGTTAATTATATGTTGATATGTGTATATAATTTAACTCGTGATTAAAAATGTGGATTTTCTATACCTTCACATTTTGTCTCATTTACATGGGAGATAAAATAATACCATATGGCCTTGTGTGTAAAGGAGAGTTGGTTTCTGTGGCCAAGAAAAAAATCTATCTATATGTAAATGAGACAAAATGTGAAGGTATAGAAAATCCACATTTTTAATCACGAGTTAAATTATATGTTGATATGTGTATATAATTTAACTCGTGATTAAAAATGTGGATTGTCTATACCTTCACATTTTGTCTCATTTACATGGGAGATAAAATAATACCATATGGCACTTGTGTTTAAAGGAGAGTTGGTTTCTGTGGCCAAGAAAAGTTCTATCTAAATGTAAATGAGACAAAATGTGAAGGTATAGAAAATCCACATTTTTAATCACGAGTTAAATTATATGTTGATATGTGTATGTGTTTTTACGCGTAGATCATAATCAAAATATTATACACGGTTCAGCATTTGCTCAAAAAGCTACAGACCATGATTAAGGAACAACGTACCATAACTCGACTGTCTCCAATAACATTGATAGCGGCTTCGGAGAGGATCTCCTTATAGTAAACCTATACACGACTTTTTGTTAGCAATGGAATCCAATGACCGGGGTAATATGTAAGGCGTTTAGACACATAGAAGCTCTATACAAACGTGACTATTATCTTTAAACTTGAAATCCATTTTACATAACCCAAGAAAATGTCAGACAAAATCCATTAAACTATAACTCCAAAGCCTGTGCCTAAATTAAAAACTTTAAAAACACCCACTAGTAGATAGAAACGCACTCTCTTGAATGCTATCATTTTTTTGTAATTAGATTATCCAAAAACTCTGTGGAAACAACATTTCCCATACGATGAGGTAGAGTAATTGAGTGCCTAAAACCCTTGGGCTTCCAAGGGCTCCGACCCCTGAACCCCACGCCTAGGGACCTGCCAGTGTCACAATTAGGTATCAATATAATGCTCATCTGACCGTAATTAAATGCCTAAAACTCCTGAACTTCCGGGGCTCTGCCCTCTGGACCCCGCCTAGGGCCCTAAGGCGGACCCCTGAGTGCTAATCTGACCGTAAATTATTGCCTTAAACCCCTGACCTTCCGGGGGCGAACAAGGTATCAACATAATATGTTCATTTGACCGCAGGCGCGTAGCCAGGGGGCCAGTATGGTCCCCCAAAAACCGCCGGCCAAAAAAATAGAGGAGTGAAAAGGAAGAGGACGTATGAAGAAAAGAGTGTAGACAAAGAACATTTTTGATATTCAGACAAGGATTAAGAGTCGAGAACGTTACAACGATTGGTATTCTTTCTCTAAAAAATCTTTCGCGCTTCGCGCGGGAGGGGGGAAACTGAATTTAGACGAAGATTAGGAGTCGATAACACGACACAACGAATTGTCTTCTTTCTCTAATGATTGAATGAAACGTTAAAGCTTCCGCGCGAGGGGGGGGGGGGAGGGAACATAATTCAGACGAGGATTATTTTTGGGAACGGTAAAACGAATCGTCTTCTTTCTCTAATAATTTATTGAAATGTCAAAGCTTCCGCACTTCACGGAGGAGGGTGGGTGAAAACACGCCCCTCCCTGCACCCACCCCCCTAATTACATCACTGCTGGTCACCATTATGTACCAATATTTGGCTCGCATAATTTCAAATTTGGGCCCCCCCCCCCCCTAAGAAATCCTGGATCCGCGCCTGGTGGAGAATGCATGGAGAGGAGAAAAGCACTGTATGGGAATCGTATTTTAGAGGGAAATTTCTATGATTTATTATGGATAAGATGCTGATTATAAGTATCGGCTTGCATGGTAATGTAGATACATGTATACATGTAAAAGCGTCGGTTAGAGAGGATGGACGGTATAGGAGAGGCTCGACGTTTCGAACAGGTTGACTAATCCGTCGTCAGGAGTGCGATATATAGCTGGCGTGCGTGAGCTTAAGCCACCGGGTTGTTTATCATGCAGTAGACGGATTGGTTGTGTGAACCAGTGAAGAAAAAAAAGCATAACAATTTACTGGTCATCATCTTCGATAAAAAAAAAAACACAACTCCCATTTGCACATAGGGACCTGTGTTGATAAGCTTGAGTTCCGATAAAGATAGAAAATAAATTCTCAGAGAATCCAACAAAACTTACACTGAATGTTCAAGATTACAAATAAATGACATGTGCCGAACGATTTTGGTAGAAAATGTATCTGTGCGGCTAAGTAATGAGCATAGATAGATAAGGAAATCAAGGTAGTTAATGTGCAAATGAGGATGATTTCCAGCGAGTTTGTGTGAGGTTGTTTTTATTTTAATGGTTCAAACAACCAATCTGCTCCAGGATAACAAAATTTATCCAGAATGAAGCCATGTTCTCTCGACATACAATACCCATACCACAACTCAAGATTAGCTTAAGCACATGGTGTCGGGCCTTCTTACCCGGATTTCCTTATCTTTCTATGAACATTTTTCTATTATACATTCACCCTAAATATAATTATTGTAAATATGTCTTTACACAACCCTTATATGAAACAAATCGTTTCGCCATCAAGAACTAAGAATATGAATGTACATGAAATTTTCTGTTCAGAGCAAATTGAAGAGGAGCTCGCAAGATACGTCGCAGTGTTGCCAATTTGTGTTTCACTGATGACCACTTTAAACAAAAATAATGACTTTCCCATTTTAATCAGATATGGTTCAAACTTTTACCAATTTGATCCCCTCATTTTTCCGCGTTTATCAAAACCAATTTGATATCAAAATGGATTTTCCCTTTAAACATTGGGAAAATGGGGAAGAAAATTGAACTGACAACAAAGTAGTTAGTTTAGTATCCTATAATTGAAAATGAGTACATGTGATGATTATGCTTCTTAAATGTTTTCCTTGTACTGACAGTCTTTTTTAAATCCATTTTTAATCATAGAAAGTGTATTTGTTTGTTTATTTCGGATCACGCGAAGTCAAGTCGCATTAGCAGACAAACTGATTAAGCCTAAATGTGCCGGCTAAAAGCCAGATATGCCAATATCGTTTCTGAATTGTTTAATTGTTTAATCGTTTGCCTGATTGTTTATCATGCTCTTGTCAGGGGTGAATACGTGCGCAATAGAAAAATATCTGTTAGTATTATCTTTCACTGGCAGAAGCAAAACCCAACTCGTCATCTACCACTGGCATTGCGCTATTAAATGTCGAATACCCCACCCCCCCCCCCCCCCAACAAAAAGGGGGAGGGGTACATGATTACATCGTATGAAATGTTAGAACCGTATGCGTTTTGTGTTTGGACAACAAACATAATTAATCATGATTATTGTACCTTTGATACAAAATCTGTCAAAATAATCATGACAATATTTTTCGGATGCATATTCTCGAAAAAGAAACAGGTGCGTGTGAATGTTATCATCAACATCCGACATTTCATCACTGTGGTATGCTGTTAAACTCATCGTGTAAAAATTGTAATCTTGAGTGCGCAAAGTGATATGATTATCATTGCAAAAATTGTGAGGATTTAATGGTAAACAAGCTTCCTTCTTCAAAAAATGTCAAAGGTCCGAGACATACAAACTCAAAACCCTTGAGATTAGATGTAATACAGGCTATGAAATATCATAATCCGGCAGCTACTCGCAAAAAGGTCGTACTGACAGCCATTGTCAGAGGCAGTAACAGCCTTCTTGCGGAGAGCCGACGAATTTATTTTTTGTCTCGATTTTTTTTTCTTTCACACCATTAGATTGGTAAAGCCAAGATGGTGATAGCCCAGAAGTCACGGCCTCTTTCAAGTGTCACAAATGAGATCGCAGACATCAGCACAGAGCAGACGACATCCTCACTCGATCACACCCTATCTGATATCGATCGCAGGATTGACGGTCTGGATTCCCAGATTCATAGTTTAAATGTGTGAGTATAGTGAGGTGAAATGGCAGTTCAGCAGTAGCAGTTTCAGGGGGGAGGCTTTGGGAGCCCAGCCGTCCACCCAAATTCGTAATTATAAATTATTTTAATCGAGGAAAGTGTAGAATATGAAGGCAAGCACCCTCCCCCCACCCAGGCCCTACAAAGCCCCACAACCCAAAATATTTTCTAGAACGGCGCCTAAAATACAGGATGAATACGCTTACCCAGATTTTAATCCCGTCCTACACTTCTACCCCTTACTTGCTTCTAAATGCTTACATGAAGAAGAAAAAAATTGAATTCAGATATCTCAGGTGATCGATGTCTAGCCCGAAATGACAATTCCTGATGACATTAAATTAAAAAAGGTAAGCAAAAGAAAAAGATATAGATATGATTGGCGTAGACAGGTGGGGGATACGCGCTCCTATTAAATCACGAGACAGAGAGAGAGAGAGAGAGAAGAGAGAGAGAGAGAGAGAGAGAGAGGAGGAGAGAGAGAAAAAGAGAGGGAGAGAGAAAGGGAGAGGGGGAGGAGGAGAGATATTGATAGTTAATAATGGATTTTAAAAAAAATTATATCATCTATTCAAACATAGATATCCATGTGCATTAATGTGACAATTACATTTAATTTTATCTCATGCAATACATGACATTGTATCGAAAAATAAGAAAATAAGCTACACGCAAATGCATAATGAGATGAACATAATTGGAGCGCTACAGAGTAAACAAGAAGTTTGATGTGCTTGCAGCCCTCGGTTAAACTAAGAATAAATATATAATGAAGAAAGTGACGTTCTGTATTATAAGAAAGATAGAAAAGGGGAAAGAACGCTGCTTTTCGCACTACAAAAACAGTAAAACCTGTCGATTTGGGAAAAGGAAAAGAAGAAAAACAGAGGAAAAAAAGAAAGCTGATGGTTGGAACGGGAGAAGAAGATGACACAATCTTCTCCAAATCCTCATCCCAGTGAGATCGCTTTGATCTGTCGCGTTTCGAGTCATGAGAACCATTTTCTAATCAATGAATGCCAGTGTCCATCCGTGACTGAACCAACACTATGCCTATAAATATGGAGCTGGTGCACATATTGTTTTATGATAGATCAATCTTCCTCAAAATGATGATCTTTGATAATTTTTCTGACAAAAGCAATTTGAAATGTTGCGAAACAAAACACTAGACTAGGAATCGTCTAGACACATTTGATATTAAACAACTACAACGATATTTCAACGATGCTTCAAGCAAAAAGAGGGAAAAAAGGGAAAGTTAAACAAATTGAAAATTGACAGAGGATAGCTAAGCGGCTGTAATGAAATACGGAGGACGTGACAAATTTGGCGTTTGCAAAGTCAAAAGAGTTCAGTGTGTTAGTTGAGGTCAGTTAAAGAAGGGCAATAGGGCTATACAGGGGCAACCCATAAATAGCTAGGGTTTTGTTTTTTATTGAGCTAAATTAGATGGAACTCATGCAGTACGTGATCGGGTAGGACTAAAAGGTGTGATTAATGTGGTAAAATAGCTTCAATTCTAACAAGAAAGTGATAAAATGACAACACTAATGGGTTTTAACGTCTTATCGAGGCCACCGAAGGAAAATTTATCTCAGCTTGCTTAAGAATAGAAAAATGAAGATTTCATTAAAGAAAATATGATACCTTAAGCAATTCGTTTACGTGCGCAGCTGAGCGTAGCATCTTGTAGCATTTTCCGTTGTGGGAGAGGGAGTGAGATGGGTAGAGAGGGGAGAGAGAGAAAGAGAGAGAGAGAGAGAGAGCAAGAAATGATTGCATTTTCTTATATTCTTTATCTCTTGCAATTACAAGTCAATCACACTGGAAATTCCTTTTTGTCTTAATATATATATATATATATATATATATATATATATATATATATATATATATTACCGTTCCCTTTGTTCCCTCTCGGATTCCCGATGATGTTGCACTACGATACACGACTTTTTATGTCTTTTATAAAATCGTTATTTCATTTCATATCGGTATGCATGCACCTACATATCTGTATTTTGTATTTAACTATGATAACAGTATATTGCCACAGTTTTTTTAATAATATATTAGTAAATTAAAGAATCTATAATATAATTATCCACCTTTATCTTTGAAAGAGAATATGCCGTTCGTTTAAATATCTTTGACATGATTGTAAAAGCTGTTGAATCACTTACCCGATATATGTTTTAAAATCAAAGAAAGAAAAACCGCCCTGAAGCTTTAAATATTATTTGAAAAGTTTAAAACTGTAAAAAGAATATTTCATTTGTATAATATCTGTCACCATATTTATTCTTTTTAATAGCTTAGTTTTTTTTCCTTCAACGCTGCTTGATTGAAAAGGTCGCATAACTTTGAGGACGACTGTTTTCATAGCTGGAAATATGTATCGCTATAAAGCGTCATTGTCGTAAACAATAATTATCTTTTAAATATTTTATTTGTGGCACTGAGTAGATTTATTATTTCTTTTACATACGTAGAGGCACCTATACAATTGTCTTTGTTTGAAGTTGTGATTTGTTATTTGTGTAATGAACATCAATAACAAAAGAAGACATTATCCCATTCTGTCCGTATGCCTGCGGGTAATTCATTTAAAAAAGGAACTACACTGATTCAGTTTTATAAATTTTAACCACTAAAATTCAAGAATAAAAAAGGGCCTCACATTACAGATAAGTCAGTAGCCCAATATATAATTAGTTGGGCCATTACAAAGCAAAGGGAGCAAGCTTGAGTATCTGGTACATGCATACCGTGTGACGTCACAAACAAATTAGCGCAGGCTTTGAGTATCAACCAAAGACGTTTGAATATATATCATCAACCATCAACATCTTATGTGACGTCATAAATAGGTTAGCAAAAACCTTTTGTATCAACATACTGTGTGACGTCACAACAAATTTAGAGCTCATCGGAGGCAAGGAGGCAGACTTTAGAAAGTAATCTGATTTCGTTTTAGATATCCAACAACAAAACAATAAAACAAAGAAAATCACATCCGGTAAAGTAAAGAATATATTAAATGAAGACATATTGTGGAAGCAGTACGATAAGTTCGCAAAAAAAATATACTAGTAGAATTAGACGTTTTACTACTTTAATGCTAAATCAAACTCTTATAATTGTTTTTCTGTCAGTCTCGTAGTAGACACGTTTTGGGTTATTGTGTCGCTTTAAATAAAAACATACAATATATGAATAAAAAAAGATTAACATAGGTAGTTTTAGCATGATTGATCGAATTAAAAGTATTTTTTTTTAATTCTCAAACTTCAGCCCTTTCCTCTTCCCTCTCTTTTCTTAAATAGAGATTTAAAGCAAATCTTAGAGAGGACCCCAAGTGTTTCCAGTATGGAGGAGGAAAATGCCGAACTTCGCCGAATGCTTAGAAATTTCGAGCGCTTTTTCGGCACCCTATACGCGGAGAAACCCGAAGCATTTGACGCCGAGGCGAACGCCGAAATAAGGATGTCAAAGCTTAACGAATACCTTGGCAACCGAGAGGCGGAGCTAGCAGGTTTGCGCCCGGCACCATCGACGGTTATTGACACGGAAGAAACCTTTGACCCGGAAGTACTTGGCAGAGCCCTCCTCCAAATTACAGAGGAGAATTCAAAACTGGCAGAAAAAGTTCAGGTAAATCAGAGTTTTTAGAAAATAATTGGAATGATCTTTTATTTGTTGGGAGTTAGGAAGCAGTCTGAAGTTAAAGTGGAAAAATGCTCTCCCCATTTCATGTTAACATCCGTCACTCATAACACAAGCATCATTTAAAAATAAAAGTGTGCGTACATATGCACAGCTGTAATTTATTATTCTAAAATCATTTCAGTGAAAAACGAAATCATTTCCGTCTCTAATCCTTATTTATAACTATTGATCATTATCGTAATATAAATTATAGTATGAACAACCTTACGTACGCAATAACACATTGCCGCCTCCCATTTCTGATTTCAAATTCATTATTGTACTTTATATTTTGCTCAAACTTCTATTTACTTATAATATATCATTTTAATATTCATGAGAAGAAAGAAAAGTTTAAACAAATATAAAATAAAATAATATATAATGTAATTCGAAAGTTTAGCCCAAAATACTGACGAGTAAAATGTAAAACCTGCATTCAACAGCTACGTATACTCTCAAGGTCATCCTTTCACATTTTTGCCGCCATTTTACCTAAATTTCAGAAACTACAATCAAAAGTTGACATCACTATCCCAAGGAAAGAGAATGGCCGTGATGACGTCATAGAAGAAGTGAGGAGACGTAGGAGCCCACGTGACCTGCATACACAGAATTTGATGAATGGTACCTCGTTATCCAATGAGGTAAATTATTGGCGTTCCTTTATACTATGAAAAGTGATTTAAATATTTCCCTTCCAGAGCCAATGAAAGGGGATGTGATGGTTGAAGAAAAATCATATTAAATGAATGTATTTTACAGTTTGTACAGAAAAAAGGATCTTGAGTTCTTTAGGTGAGCCCATTTGAACAGCTCGGTATTATATCATCAGCCAAAAGTAGAAGCGGGGAGCGATAGTTATCAAGTTTCTGGAAAGTGTTAGACCAAACTGAGAAATATCCGGCAAAAGAATATGCAACTTGTTTAATAGTCATGCTAAGTAGTTTATGTCACCACACCACAAATAGTTCAACATTAGGGGCTTTTCGATTTGCACGACGAGAACGTGGACTGCAACTGTGACATCCTTTTAAGGCACTGCCACTGCCTTAAAAGGACGTAACACCCCCACGCAAATCGAAAAGTCCCTATTAAGCGCAAGACAAAGACAGTGATACCTTTAGAAAGCAGATTAAAACCCCTAGCCTGAACCACCGTTGGTGCAATGTTTGTTATAATATTTTCATTCGTATTCGAAACATTGGCAATGAACTGATTGTGCAGATTTGGAAAGAAACATTGAGAATTCCTTCAGAACTCTCTCCACCGGCATCCCTGGCTGCGGATTAATCCTCATTACCAGGTCCCTCGGAGAGGACCTTAATCCGTCGGTCCTCTGGTTGCTTACTAACAAGCTTTTATGCTTTCTTAGCAGTCAGGTAAAATAACCGACCGACCACCAGTCCGCTACAATCGACATATTTTGTTCCACTTGGAGAGAATTGACACGAAGGGGGACATTGAGTTACGTAATGGAATATAGCCGTGCAGATCGACAGCGATCAGCAACATCTTAGAAAGTCGTTTTTGACTTGGAGCAGGCTGCAAAATGTAGAGCGCCCTCCCAGACGAAACACCCTGCATGATAACCATCGAGCTATAATGCCTGAACATATCTCATTACTCGTTCTGTGTATTCACCGGGAAATTAGTTTTAATGCATGGTGAAATTGACTATCACTGCATCAAGGAGGAGGATTTAAAGGAAGACGGATCTTTGCGTTGATGACCAAGAATCAAGCAGTTTGAATCCTCTTTGCCCAAGAAGAATAGTAAATTTCAAGCTATAGAGCTCGTATTAGAATACAATAATTATGTGCATAAAAACTTAATTTAATCCTCCACAGATTGTCGCGTCTATTTTCTGCCTGGTATGGTAGTGTGATTAAAGTTCGCACGTGATCTAAGTTCGCTATATCAAAAAAATAAGTAAGATTTCGAAAATCTGATATCACCAATGGAAAGAGGAACTTAAAATTACCCAGAGATGAATTTTTTTTTTGGAATAGGGTACGAAATTATGAAAATATTGACAAAAGATCGGCAAATTTTGCAATCTTTTGCGTCCGTTCCGAAAAATTATCAACTTACCAAAAGGGTTTGGAAATTTTCAATTTGAGAGCAAATTTCCTCAAAATTGTAAGTAAAAAGTTGTACTAACTGGTTGTATGATATCTTGCCTTGCAAATTATGAAATTACCTTATTTTTGATAAATCACATTTAAAAATAAATCAGCAGTTCACCCCCGTGCGTGAAGTTAGATTATGTTGTTTTTATGACTTTTGAGATGCAGCGCGCACACACGATCGGACAGCGAATTTTTAGATCGCGATATCTCCGAAATCCTTCGAAGATAAATTTCTAGTTAACCAATCTGTAGTAAAAAAAAATTTGGTCGTTCATTTAGTAATAATTGAAATAAATAAATTTGTGTAGAATATGAATTATGAATAAGCTATTGGCATTGAGTTAATGGTTTATTCCAGGTCATCCATGCAGCTTCACACCTAAGTTCTTTTCTGCTCTTCATCATATTCCATCTGTTTTAGTCGAAGATGTATTACATACCAATGATATCATTCCTTTCCGCAGACGCTATCTACAATCAAACGCATGCTGGCGCAAGAGATCGCCTCAGCTTTGGCAACATTCAACGAATCGTCATCAACGCCATCATCGTGCAATTCGAGCAGCAATACGGTGTATACCGACATCAGTGATGACGGAATGTCGACATCGGAGGAGATCGAAATCCTGACGGAAGATTTGCTCGGGATTCCTACATCCTCTCGTAAGTTCTTAACATTTATTAAAAAATAAAAATAAAATAAAAATAATATTAATACTGCTACTAGTACTACTACTAGTACTACTACTACTACTACTACTTCTACTACTACTACTACTACTACTACTACTACTACTACTACTATACTACTACTACTACTACTACTACTACTACTACTACTACTACTACAACTACTACTTCTACTACCTACTACTACTACTACTACTACTACTACTGCTACTACTACTACTACTACTACTACTACTACTACTACTAATAATAATAATAATAGTAATAATAGAATAGAATTAGTAATAGTAATAATAATAATAGAATGAGTAATAATAATAATAATAATAATAGAATGAGTAATAATAATAATAATAATAGAATGAGTAATAATATTAATAATAATAATAATAATAATAATATACATATACATATACATAAATGATAACCATGAGCTATATTCTTATTAATTAAAACAAAATATGTGACATTGATTAGGAGTTTAACATATACACATACGAAGGGCCTATTATATCATGGTCGACGACCCCCCCCCCCCCCCCCCCCCCACCTTCCAATGAAGGCGTACATGAGTGGTGAGATCATTTATTCTTTGAAGAAGAAACAAATCTACAGAAAAAAACAAAATGACATTTTTTAAGAAACCATAACCTAGAAAAATAGTAAACGGTACATATGCATGTTCTCAATTTTGCATCATTCTAATCCCTGCTTATTTTTTATTAGACCCCCCCCCCCTTAAAAAAGGAGGACAAATAAAAAGAAGAATATGATTTTTTCCCCTCCGTTTATTCGTTTACCGTTTTGTTTACAGGTAGGAGGAAATCTGCGTTTTCGGTCGCCAGTATGACGTCACTGTTAGGGTCAACGCAACCTCAGTACGTGACCTTTGAACATGTCTACGTCAACAAGGGGCGGGACTTTCTCGTTGACAACCATACATTTGCTTGCCAGATCGCCGGATTCTACTACATTTCTTTCAAGTAAGATTTGGTTTTGATTTGATTTGATTAGATTCGTGCAAATTTCAGCTCTATTTGAAGGCTTACTCGAAATTTGATAAATCCAAATACACTCATAAATTTGGAATATTTGTTTACCCTTTTTGTATGAAACGGTTCTGATATTTATTATTCATAGATGAAAAGTGTTTTCTCAGAGCTTTATTGTCAATGCCTCTTGAGATTGATCAATAAAGTTTTGAGAAGATGTGAACTTAGCCTTTCATGAATAAATCATATTGTCACAGTCGTTCCAGGAAGAGGAGTATTAAAAAAAAATCCAACTTTATTTATGGGCAAAATTAATAGTGTATAATATAAATTCAGGAATTTGTATGATTCCTTTGATGGGTTTTGATAACCATAAGGCCTAAGAAAAGATGTTGTATTGCCCTTTAGGTGCCCAAACATGGGTCGGAAATCTTCTTTTTATTCAATTTTTTTTCTCCCTCTTTGGGCTGATATTTCTCAGTTTTGAATGCTTTAATATTTGTTTTCTCTATAAAAACGGTAACGAAAAGAAAAGGTTTTTTAAAAAAGCCGACCGTAGATTTCAAGATTGTGGGGTCAGTCGCAGAGGGCAATACAACATCTTTCTTTTTTGGCCTAATCTTGCTTGCCAGATCTCCGGTTTGCGTTACATACACGAGAGATTTTGATTCATTTAATCAGACTTGAACAAACTGGGGCAACATCCAGCATTTCTATGGAAATTGGCGTTAAGCCTATCTGCACCCGTTTGGCCAGGAGGGATTAGACCTCCCAGCATGGTCACTGACAGGTGGTTATCTCATCAAATCAGCTCTCATTTAACATAAGAAAAAGGGGACCTTGCGGGGCCAATGGTCACCGCTTAGGCATTGTTTGCTATATAGAGGGCGCAAGTAGCTATAAGTAGTGCAGTGGGGCTTAAGATATCAATAATTATTAAAAAGTCATGCCATGGATTTCGACAACCAAACGTTACCTTTCCAGATCATTGGTTTCTATCGTATCACATGCAAGTGAGATTTGGTTTGATTTAAGTTGAAAATAGCTTCCGTTTAAGCTTGAGTACTCTGACCGAGAAATCAGAAGATTCACGTTCAGATGTTAATTGGTTTCTATTGCCGCCCTTCCCATTTTGGACATTTATCCCTGTCTTACGATTACTTCTAAAAATATTGATCTGGCGGCGTCTATAGCAAATACATGCAAATAAAATGACAGAAATCAATTTCTTTCATTCATATTTAAAGCATTATTTGAGGTGGTGTAACAAAAGAATTGCGCCTCATCTCTTATATCGGGCAACCTATATCCACCTCTGTATTAAATATTTATGTGCCGCACTAATAATCTCCCCGTGCCACATTGTATCGGTCTATTTTACAAAGCCACTGTATTGCACAGAGCAATCCTTCCATCAATTTGTCGTGCAAAATTGCACGATTGGCAAACGAGTAACCGTGCAGATTGGCGAGGAAAGCCGCCGAAGGGTTCAATACAACTTGTCTTTTAAAATGTTCAGTGTCATTGATATACAGCGACATTCAATTGTTGGAACACAGCCTGACGACGTAGGGTGCGAATTCGAAATTGTCCCCCCCCCCCCTCCCGTTTCGAAAACTTCTGAATCCGCCCCTGTAATGTGTCTATATTTTGTTCTTAAAGTACTTGTTCTTCAACCTTGCAAAAAATACAATATGGGAGGACAGCAACAAGGAATGTTTTCATATTTAATACTACGAAACATTGCTCTGATATGTGTGTTTACATGTATGTCGTGCTCTTGAATCGATGTAATAGCATATTTGTAAAGCGCTTAGAGACATTTTTATTAAGCGCTATATAAAAGTTAAATGTTATTATCATTATTATTATCGAATTGTTTCATTCCATTTCAAATTTGAACACAGCTTGCGTTCATATGATGGTCGCCATCTCGGTGTGACACTGATGAAAAACGAAGAGGTCATGACCGCGATCTACTCGGACGCGAGCAGTCGGAACGTCATGGAGAGTCAGAGTTTAATTCTGCATCTTGAAAGGGGTGATCGGGTCTATCTTCGGCTCGGCCCTTCGGAAACTTACGGAATCTACAGCGATTTTCGGAAGTACAGCACGTTTAGCGGCTTTCTCCTGTACCGCGGTTATTAGTGGTGTGCGAGTGGGATTGTTGGATAGGGTGGGAGAGATTGGGCGAGGGGGAAGGGGAGAGAAGAGAGAGAGAAAGAGAGAGAGGGGGTGAGATTTGGAGTGAGTGAGGGAGAAGGAGTCCTGGGAGATATAGACAGATAGACAAAGAGAAAGAGAGACATATAGACACAGAGAGTGAGAGAGCGAGAAAGAAAGAGTTGTAAACAAAGAGAGGGAGAGAGAGAGAGAGAGAGAGAGAGGGGTTGGGAATGTGACAAAATAGAAAGGGGGAGATAGTTCTTTGGAGAGAGGAAGACAGAGAAAAGAGACAGGGAAACCGTGACTGATCGAAGTGAAGAGTTTATTATGTAGTGGAAATCAGTGCGAACATTATGATGAGAACCTCCCATATGTCATGTTTATCTCTACATGCATCAAAGTAAGTGATACAGTACAATCATTATACAAATTAATATTCACAATGTAAGACTGGAACAGGCTCTGTTTTATGTTCACGTTTCGGTGGAACACATAGGCCTGAATTCACAAGGAGGTTTGTAGACATTTATGTTCGTCATATGACGCTTTTTGACGCGTTTCAGACCAAGGTTTGTCTGAACCTTGGTCTGAAACTCATCGAAACGCGTCACATGACGCACATAAACCTAGGTGTGTCCCTCCTTTGTAAATTCGGGCCATGGTGTTCAAGCAATATACATTTGCCATGGACGAATGAGTAATAAAGAATGACAAAATTGGAAATGGTGCGTCTCATCTCACTCAAACATAATCATCGTTGCGTGAGATGCGTCATTTCGAAGCGTCACCAGCTACGTTAATCAAGCCTGTGAGGGCAAGTAGTGCATACACCAGGGGGGTGTTTCACAAAGATACTAAGTCGAACTAACTCTAAGTTGGACTTAAGGAGAGCCATTTGTAGTACATAAACAAATATATTCAAAAGCAAAAATTCAAGTATTTAGACTTTTCATAATTCCATATCACGAACATCTTGATAAATCACCTTGATAAAGAAATATGAGTGATTTGAATTCAAATTTTCTGCCTTTTAAAAAAACTTTTTCAAAAACTACAAAGATGCTAACGGCTTTCCAAACTTAGAGATAAGTTCAACTTAGAATATTTGTGAACACCCCCCCCCCCCCAGCATTGCAGCTCAACGTTTGCACTGCGCACTTACCATTCGCTTTTCTTTTTTTTTGATGTCACTCTCAAATGACGCATCGAAGACGACGCTAGTCACTAACGCAGTCCTACGTCAGCAAATAGGGACTTTTAGATTTGCACGAAGACAATGTGGATTGCTACGGTCGACGTCCTTTTAATGCACTGCCTTGAATGGACGTCACACGTATCAGTCCATGCAAATCTAAAAGTCCCTATTGACGCATCGAGTACAACGGACATGATACATCGTAAGGCATTGAAACAAATATGTACGACCGTTGGGCTAATATCTAGGAGAAATATTTCAAGGGAATGTCCCGTATTTATGGCATAATAGTAATATTTAACGTGTCTTTTGTCTATAATATTATTATTTCCAAAAAGGTGATGACGGTACGTGATATGATTCCGAAATGAAAATATTTTGATATTTCATTCACATGAAAGCTCAACTAAACCTTATCATATAAATAAATGTAAGAATGGGCATAATTAAGAAAAACGAGTGGGGGCACTCTTACAAAATCATGATATAGTTTCATGTTTATTACTGTGCTATGTGACACAAATATCGAGTTTGTATTATATGAATACGAGTAAACTGATGTTTTCATTCAGGCTACCAACTTAACTGTCTGAATATAAAAGCAATGTTGGTTTGTTTGTTTGTTTGACTGATTTTATTTCTGCGTTCAAAAATATACAAATTCAAAGTCAAAGTACAACATTTCGAACAATAACAAATACAATGAATACAATGTTTACAAAAGTAATTAAATGAAAAATCATTTACAATTATATCATTCGATAAACATGTACGAAGCATACAATAACATAAGAAATATGAAATATTTTCAATAAATTAGAGAGGTATTTGGAACGCAGGAGACCACCATCGTGAGCGGTTAGGCTGGAGATGGATGGCGGCCTCGTAAAAAGAATTGGCGACATAACTCTCTTCGAAAAACTGAGTGATCAAGAGGTGCGGTGCAAGTGCAAGTGCAATGAGCAGTTGCATGATAAAGAATAAATAAGTCACGGTTTTGTTATACTAATTTAAAGAGAGGGGAGCATATGATTGTATTATTTGTCGTTTAAGTGTAGCTTTTAAGGAGTAGATGGTTGAACAAGACTTTATGTTGTCCGGTAAATCATTCCAAATGTCCGTGCCAGAATGTCTAACAGATTTGTGTGTTATTGATAATTTGGGTTTGTAAGATGGAAGTTTCCAGATATGCGAGTAGAGTATGAATGAACGGAATTATTAAACCTAAACATGTTATCAAAGGATGGTGGAAGCAGATTATTAACATAATAACTGCTACTTGAGTAGTGTTGAGATCGAAAATTTTTAGTGTTTTAAGTTTATAGAATAAAGGATCAGTGTGAGCTAAGAAATGCGAACCTGTACAAATACGTATGGCTTTCTTTTGCAGTTTGAAAATAGAATTAATTTTTGTCGAACCGCAATTTGCCCATACACTATTACAATATGTTATATACGGGAGAACTAGCGAATTATATAGTAGGAATAAGGTTGCATGGGGTAGAAGAAACTTTAACTTGGAGATTATTCCAATACTTTTGGAAATGCACATTAGATGTTAGATTTGTTTTCTATTTAAATATTTCACTCTGATCTGATAAAACTTGGATCATCTTAAAGACGTCGTTTTTATGTCAGTACAAGTTAAAAACAGTTTTTTCCTATGCAATTCTGCATTACAACATGATACCAATTAAAATCACTTCCTATATTGACAATATATTACTTTCATTATTACAGAAGATTTGTTTTCTTCAAGAAATGACCTGACCCTAAATGCTATCATAATATCACAATTGCTATAGTGATAGGATTAAACATCAGCTAATAAAAAATTGGATTATAACGAAGTGATTTGCGTGATCCTATGTGCACTTTGTAATAATAGGACTTGCCTGTATATTTCTGCATCAGCTATTATACCCGTTTTCATGAGACGAGGGGTTATTGAATATTACCCTGCAATGAGTGACAAAATTAATGATCATTATCACTTTATCATTTACATTTCATATCATGCATTGATCTATACATTACTTGCAAAGTAATACGCAAAATTTGACTTCATTTATTACAAGTTTCTCTATCACCAGGATGTCAATTCATGAGAATGAAGATTTTCAAGAAAGTGCGATTTTTCAAAGTCTCACTCAAGGGAGGGGAGTGGGCAGGGATCAGCAATAACATTCATAGAAAGTTTAGGAAATCTGTAAGTAAACATCATGGAGACCCTAATGTCATGCCCCTCAAACATCTTGGCCTGAAAGAGTGGGGGCACGTCCCCATGTCCCCTAGGGATTGACGCCTCTGCTCAATTTGTATTTCGAATTAAACAAAAAGCTAGCGGATCATCTTGAAGTGAACTGAAATCATAATAAAAATGTGTATCATATATTATGACTATTTCTATGCATTCATTTATTTTTGCAATTTGTCTTATAGTATCTAATTCTATCCCTCTTTAAGTATTCACACCGTGGCGTAGCATGGGTCCACTAGCACATGCAGGGGGGGCATCATGCGCGGATCCAAGGGAGGGGGCCGTGGGGGCCTTGCCCCCCCCCCCCCCGCAAAAAAGGGGGAAAAGAGAGAGAGAGAGAGAGAGAGAGAGAGAGAGAGAGAGAGAGAGAAGGAAAGGGAAAGAGGAGAGGAGGGGAAAGAAAGAAGATGAAGAAGAAATAAAAAGGGGGAAAAGCAGATCGGGGGGGGGGATAGTCAAGCCTCATAGCTGTAACCCCCCCCCCCCCCCACCACCACCACATTAACTAATAGGAGAGAAGGACGGAAAGGGAAAGAAAACAGGAAAAGAGGAGATTAAGGGAAGGAAAAAAGAGGAAGTAGATAAGGAAGAAAGGGGAATTTCAGTTGCAATTTTCCCGCCTGTTGTAGTTCGGGGGCCAAAAGGCCCTTGCCTCCCCCCCCCCCCCCCCCCACCACCACCCACTCCTGCCCCCAAAAAGGGGTAGGAAGGAAAAGGGAAAGCTAAAAGGGAACAAAAAAAGAGGAAGACAAAAAAAAGAAAAGGGTGAAAAGAAGGGGAGAACAGTTGTAATTAATCCCGCCAACAACGTGTAGATCGGGGGGGGGGGGGGGCGAAAGGCCCTTGCCTCCCCCAGCAAACCTAAAACAGAGAGAAGGAAGGGAAGGGAAAGGAAAAGAGGAGAGAAAGGGATAGATAAAAAAGAGAATGAAGAAAGGTAGGGGAGAACGGTAACGATTTTTCCCGCCAAGAAAGTGTAGATCGGGGAGGGGGCGCACTGGCGTACTGATGGGGGGGGGGGGGGTAACAGATGCCCCCCAAATATAATTCAAACGTGGTTTATTTCTAATTCGATACCGGTGATTTACAAATGTTGCTGAATTGACATAATTTTTCGAGATTTTTCCTCAATCTTTAATAATTATACTTTTTTATGCGTTTGTTGGAAAATGGCAAATTTCTAAAGAAAGAAAAAAAGAATAGTGACCTGCCTTTGTCACAAAATTATGAGGTGTCAAAATATGCTCATCTGACCGTGATTAAATGCCTAAACCCCCTGAGCTTCCGGGGGCTCTGGTCCCTGGAGACCACCTAGGGCGCTTAGGTGGGCACCTGGATGCTCATCTGACGGTAATTTGATGTTTAAAACCCCTGAGCTTCTTGGGTCTTCGCCCCCTGGACCTCATGCCAATTAGTGTCCTGCCAGTGTCACAAATAAGGTATTATTATACTCATCTGACCGTAAATGCCTAAATCTCTGAGCTTCCGGGGCTCTGCCCCCTGAACCTAAACCAATGGCCCTAAGGCAGGCCCCTGGATGCTCATCTGACCGTGATATATTGCCTAAAACCCCCGAGCCTCCAGGGGCTCCGCCCCCTGGACCCCGCGCGCCAATTCGTGAACTGCCAGTGTGACAAATAAGGTATCAAAATATGCTCATTTGACGGTAATTAAATGCCTATACCTCCTGAGCTTCTGATGGCTCCATCCCTTGACCCCGCCGATGCTTCGCCCCTAGACCCCACGTCAATTTACGCTACGCTCTGCCTGATCGTAAATACCACCCCCCCCCCCACCCTACTCACTTACTTAGAGAAACGTTCAGCGGGACCTGCATGTAAGAGTGGGGTGATGCGGATTTTTGTTGGTCTACCCCCCCCCCCCCCGCCCCCAAACGTTTTGGCTCATTTCGCCACTGCCGGACCAATATTTGGCTCGCATAATTTCAAATTTGCCCCCCCCCCCCTAAGAAATCCTGGATCCGCGCTTGGGGGGCGCAACGGGGTTAGAAGTTCGAAACAATTGCAAAGCCACCGATTTTTTTTTCTCGCTATTTTGTGGCCCGTGCCCCCATTTACAGACAAGTGTGAAATCGCGCAAGGCAAAAAAAAAAAAAAAAGCTCTATTAAACGGGATGTTCCTGATGAAAATGGGAAAGATGCCAAAAGAAAGCTAAATTCATGTAAATCTAATGTTTGCCAAATGAACGCCTAGATCAATGCAGATTTGTTTCGTTTAAAGCAATGTTGAATAATAATATGATGTGACAAATAAAGTAAAAGCACGGCGTAAAAATACGGCGGTAAGTTTTTAATATACGGGAATACGGTAAAATATTCGACGCGAATCGGAAACCCATACAAGCACACTTAAAAATCAAACAAGCAAACGAACAGAAAACAACATGAACACAACAACAATGTGATTTTATGGTAATATAATCACCCAAAATGCGCGAATCAAGATATAGCATTGCTTTCCCTTTCGACTTTGTAGACAAGGTAAAAAGTTTAAAGGTAATATACAAAGTTTTGTAGGGGTCATGAATTTTGTTCAACTGAACATAATGGAAGCATATGCGATTCTACAATATTCAGTGATCGTTGTCGGCGTTGAAATTGAGTCTATTAAAGTTATGAAATTGTAAATAATAAACTCTTCAAGTTGTATAGCTTCCTCTCAAGGTCAAGATATTAATTAAACTATAAAACAATGTTTCTTGACTAAAATCGACCGATTAGCTATTCCCGGTCGGGAATTATATATCACCACTACATATTCTGAGATCTTCATGGTCGCAGCTACCATTATACGGCCGTAGGCGCTATTTGAAACTCATCAAAATTTACCGGGAGCACCGGTAATTTTTTTAATATTCAATTTGTCTCGAAAGCAGAAGTGTTTTAGGGGCTAAATTTTCTAGTGCTTATATTAAATCCACAGGGGCATCCAAATATATCAAAATTGTAAAGAATCACTATCGACCAATTTTCAAAATTTCCCAAAACTTTGTATTACCTTTAATATAAGCTGTTACATTTTTATGTCGAATCATTATATATAGGTGATGTTTTAGACCCCCGAATTGCCTTGTATTTGATCTCTCTCTTTCTGACTCTCTCTCTCTCTCTCTCTCTCTCTCTCTCTCTATCTTACTCTCTCCCATCCTCTCTCTCTCTCTCTCTTTCTCTCCCTCACTCCCTCCACATGACTTCTCCCCACCCCCATGTCTCTCTCTCTCTCTCTCTCTCTCTCTTTCTCTCTTTAACTCACTCTGTTTCTTTCCCACTCTCTCCTTTCTACACCTTTATGTCATTGTCTGTGCTATGAAGGACAACAACTGGGTTGTATTAGGGACTTTTATATTCGCACGAAGACAATAGGTCTATGCTACGATCGACGTCCTTTTAATGCACTGCCTTAAAAGTCCCTATTGTCTCGACAAAATAACCGGATAAGGATCTAGTTACATAACGATTTACATAAAGACTAGAAATTCGTCGGCAAAGGGGAAACCTGTCTAGTGATTCATCCAGCACCGTTCGTTCCAGATTCCTTTAAAAGAAATACGAAGAAGTCTTAATCATAATCATCCCGGTAATCATCTCAACAACATCGGTGCTCTCAGTTACTTACATGGGTAGGATTTGGCCGTTTAGTGGAAAAATATTAACTTCTTTTCAATAATTATTCACATAATTTACGTCTGAAACTTACTGCTGATGTCAATACAAAATAATTTTGCAAATATATGCCAAATTGGTCAGAGGACAAGGAACGTTAACCAATAAAGAATAGTATATTATTCATGCATTATTCATACGCTTATTGTCGATTAGTTGGACACCCCTGGCGTGAATGAAGTCGTCCATAAGTGCGTTGCGTTTGGCAGGTGCAGGGAGTCAACGCTGAAATGTTTTCACTTTTTAGCCAGAATTGTTGAGTGGGATTCGGTCAGTAGTAGGAAATTATCATCGTGCAGGACTAAATTGGAGAAAGAGGCAAAAAGAGTCGATCGAAAGACAATAGAAGATCTATATCTATCTGAAGATTTGTTTTTTGGGAAGCTTCAATCTCAAGTTTCAACGTAGCTGCACGCAAGAGCTCCGGGATAACAAGAATTCATTTCTTCCAAGCAAAGTTCGGTAAGTACCTTTTTTTTTACCAGTAACAAGAAATTACATGACATGTTTATCAATATTCATTTAGATTGTGATGTTTATACTGACTTTATCGATGTATAGTCTGTGAAACACTCAATTCCTGGTATTGTAATTATTTATTCATTCATTTTTGTTTTTAAATGTGTGCTGCTAAGAGGTCACTGCTTAGTTTGGGCGAATGAGAACGAGGTATTAACCGCAGTGATGTAATGTGTCGTAATGTAAACAGTTACAATGTTTCTTATGATCTTTACTCCAATACGAATCATAATTATATCCAGTCTCCATAGTCAGGTTTGTTAGGTAAAGAGATCGGGGCAGGTTTCACGAAACCGTCATAAGTAATTCAATTAACACCCGTTTCAATGGGATGGTGTTGGACTTGTACTTTCAACGGTCCCGTGAAACAATGCCCTAGAGCGACATCCGGGTAATGATTTATTTTAAAAGGGTCGAATGATGTACTGGTTAGGTATGTAAGAAGAGTAAAACGGTAATAATGTGAGAAGTATCTTTGTGTAAGGCGTATTCCGCATCTATAGTAGAGTTTATTATTAAAGAAAAATGTTGTGAATGTTGGAATGAATGGGAGGGGGATGAGCAAAAGAGAAAGAGAGACAGCCAGAGAGGAAGAGCAAGTGAAAAAGAGAAAACGGTCACGAGACAACGAGAAGATGAGAGAAAGAATGAGAGAGAGAGAGAGTGAGGCGAAAGGGAGGAAGCACTGACGATAGAGACATAGAGAGAGAGAGGGAGAGAGAGAGGGAGAGAACGACCCGTTAATAAAAAATAAAAAAGAGGGATAATAAGGGAAAGCGAGATAGGAAGAAGAGGAGGATATAAACACCTGTTTAACGGTTACGGCAGATTGTCTTAAAGATTGATAGCTTGTTGACATTGACATTGCACTCGAACACGGATTCGCTCTCTAATAAAGTCACACCGTCACACCTACTACTCCAAACCGACCAAACAATGAGTAGGGGTAATAAATTCAGCTCGCTGTCGTGTCGTCTGATGTCGGTCTCAGTGGTGTGACTTGGGTATGCTTGGAAAAGAAAAGGGGCATAGATTGTGGAAATCAGGGGACCATTCGGAATTCTTGTTACAAAAGTAATGGGTGAGCCTATGCCTCAGCCAAACCTACACTAAGCCGACACCAGGGGGTGTTTCATGCACAAAGAAGTCAAACTTACTCGAAGTTGAACTTAAACATTATGGAGAGCCCTTTGTAGCCTTGAAAATAAAATATATTCAAATGCAAAAATTCAATAATTTTTAGACTTTTCATAAATTCCACATCAAGAACATGAAATCTCCTTGAAAATAGATAATATGAATGATTTGAATCAACATTTAATGCCTTTTAAAATAACTGTTACAAAATATTTTCTAGGATGCTAATGGCTTTCCATAAATGTTAAGTCTAACTTAGAGATAAGTTTAGCTTAGAACCTTTGTGAAACACCCCCGGCCTACAAAAGACAAAAAAAAAAAATAGTTCACCTAATGGCCCAGAGTGGGTCAATTTGGCGGTGTGACTTAGGTTTTACAGTCGCAGATAATTATTGAAAGGGGGGGGGGTGAACCTATCCCCCTTTCCCCCTTTTTCTCAACCCATCTTCAAGTTCCGTCTTGGCACGAACTGACCTATCTTGGTGGCTATGAAAATATTGTTCATAAATCCGGAGCTCTCGGCATTGACATAATTTCCTTCCGTCTGTAAGTGGCAGGTCCCGTGACCTCTCTTCAAGACGATTGTTGGAACCACGGCAAATTTCTCCCCTTTTTTCAAGCTGTATTTTCCTTCGAAAACATTAGTTAAAAAAATAATGGAGGGTTTAGAGTGTATCCCAGTCGGTTGCACGAAACATGCTCCAGTGAAAATGGCTCTGACAATCGGAACCAGGGCATTTTTTTTTCAAGCCGAATTTTCCTGTCAAAACACAACACCTCCCTGGTTAAAGGAAGGCTTGACTGCATAGTTAGTCACTTTAGCCCTGGCGACTATTCCTGCACTAAATTTATTTGTTTAATTCAACCCTAGACAAAACAATTTAGATTGATTGATAGATTTTATTACTCAAGTATAAGTAAATTTTTTGACATTATGGAATATAAAAGAGAAAAAAAACATATATGCCATGGACAGATAACTCATCTTAGCTGATAATTGGTAAGAATGTGTCGTGGTTTAGTGGTTCATTCACTTGACTCTCAATCTGAGGGTTGGTGGTTCGAATCTCGGCCGGCACTAACGTCCTTTGGCAAGACAGTAATCCACGTTTGCCACTCTCTACCAAGTGAAATGGGTACCTAGGACCAGCTGGTGTAATAATGCTTGCATGGCCCTCGGAAAACAAAATCAGCATTTGAGCTGATGAGGTTACCCTGGGAAAACAGTATTATCATCATCTTTATTATGACAGAATGCTGTAAACCATATAGCAGCATGATTTTTTTACTTGCACGTTACTGTTTTACTGTATAAAGAAATTGTACATCCTTTTGTCATCTGCACCTTCACCTGCTGTCACAACACATCCCAACCCAGTATAGCTTGGAAAAGCTTCTTCAGGGATTACCTCATCAAGTATCAAGTATTACTCCTTTTTATTATTAGGTTGTTTTCAATGGGTTCCCAAAAAATAACCCCCAACTCAAAAACCTTGATCCTAATCTAAAACCTAAGTTTAACCCTATACTTAGCCTTGATAAATTCCTAATCTTTACTTTGACAAATGGCGATCGTCCGTCATTCACAGGCCTGTGTTACAGACATGTTGATTAATATTGATTTTTATTCAATAATCTGTGATTTTGAATGGCTAATTAAAGGCAATTGTACTTGCATTGTTCTCCTGACGTACGTCCGGGTTCTTTATTAAAGGCATAATAGGATTAAACAAACACAAGTCACTATGAATATGACGGACAAAGAAAGCGGACAAAATATACAGTTCCTCAGGTAGATAAAGGAACATCCCTTCACTGCTATTATGTAAAAATGTGTAGAACAAGTGTCACATGCATATTCACCTGTTCTACACATTTTTACATATTAGCAGTGAAGGGATGTTCCTTTGTCTACCTGAGGAACTGTATATTTTGTCCGCTTTTTTGTCCGTCATGTTCACTGTGAGTACAGCCAAACTATCCAAGTCAGGTAGATTGTTGTAACGTGCCACAGTACAATGTTCTCCTGTACGAAGTCATGTAAAAATGTATTTTGTCTGCAGACTATCCAACAGTGACTCATTCGAATGCACTTTTAGCTGAACTGTTGTTGTTACATGGGACAGCTTCTTAAAGGTAATGCAACATTTTGGGAAATTTTGAGAATTGGATGGATACTAAATTTTGTATAGTTTTGATATATTTGGATGCCTCTTTGGATGTATTATAAGCACCAGAAAATTTAGCCCCTAAAAAAACACTTCTGCTTTCGAGAAATTGAATAATCAACAATTTACCGGTGCTCCCGGTAAATTTCAAATAGCGCTTAAGGCCATTCTATGGTAGCTGCGATCATGATCATCTCAGAATATGCAGTTATGATATATAGTTTCCAAACGGGAGTAGGAAATCGGTCGATTGTAGTCAAGAAACAGTCTTGAGAGGGAGCCATACAACATAAAAAGTTAATTGTTTACAATTTCATCACTTTAGACTCGAGTTCAACCGTTACAACGATCATGGAATATTGTAAAATCACATATACTTCCAATGAGTTCATTTGAACCAAATTCATTACCCCATACCAAAACTTTGTATTACCTTTAAGAGATTTTATTTGAAGGCCAATCATGCCTAATGTGTAGGCCTTCCGCGAGCTTTTCAACTCTTTGAAATCTACATGCTTTTCCTACCATCTAACAGATAAAAACTAAACTTGTCGTAGCCATACTGTCATTTCCATATAAAAGGTAGACCTACTCATTGTTTTTATCGAACTTCACAGTTTATGTCTGTGACAGATCTGTTTAATATACGACTGTAACTTCATACATGCCAAGTTTTTACGCCAATAATAACGAGCTTAGCACGGAAATGTCGATTTCTTTTAGGTCGTAACTTGAAGCATGTGAGCTTTGTTTATGTTACAAGTACATTATAGTTGCTCATGTGATCAGAGAATTATTGGATACATTTAGCGATTAAAAGCCTCTATAGCTATTAAAACATCCAATCACATGAACACTTTATGGCGTATGAAGCGGAAATAAAATCTCTATAAAAAGTTATCACCGATTTCTAACTTCATGTTTTTTAAGGGTTTTTTTTTCTTCTTTTTCCAAGAACATAAAAGAGTATACTAATAACAAAAAATACAAGAAAACGAATTAAAATAACAAATAAAATAACAGGGACAAAAGCCATCAACTAATGCCAGACGATTTCCAAAAGAAATATGAGTTTCTGTAGGAGGCACCACAAATAAACGAAATCGTTATATTTACGAATATTTCAGCCGTCTCTGAACCGATTTTGATCAAACAAAGATGATTTTGTCTTTTAAATTGTATGTTCTTTCAAATCTGACACTCAGTTTTTCATTATCTCACGAACAAAAATATTTTGTGTAGCGCCCTCTGCAACAAAACTCAACTTTCCCTGTAATGCATCATTATGTGGTTTTCCATCATCAAATGTTTACTTGATAACAATGTCAATCATGATTACGTGATTAGGGCACCATGTGTTTGATTTTGGGCCAATGTTCGAAGGGCGCGGTTGTTATGGAAATGATTAAAGTGACAATGATAGTTATAGATAATATGCTTACTCTATAGTGAAGCAGTGAAGGTCACCAATGAGGAACGGTGAGAGAGAGAGAGAGAGAAAGAGAAAAAAATCATCATTAATCGTCAATCTTGACGTTGACGGATACAGAATTTCGAAATGTTTGAGAGATGGCGTGTTCATTCGAATTGCATTGATGATGGAAATTATGACTAATTAAATGAAATATTTCCTTCTGAGAAAATACGGTAATAATTATATTAATAATAATAATAATAATGCTTTTATTTACCCAGGGTAGCCATTTCAGTTATGAAACTGCTCTTCCAGCAGGCCCTGCATAACATAATATGTTATTACTATACCCTTCTCCAATCTAATATGTTGAGCGCCTAGCTAGAAGGCAGAAGGTCATTATTGTTATAAGTCTTTGGTATGACTCGGCCCACGTTCATGAGGCGGGCGCGCTAACCACTGAGCCACCATGCCCGGTGACATGCTTTCGACAATATACATAATGCACAGCACAATAAACTTTGCAAAAAAGGCACCTGCTATAGAACAGTATATAGAGATGGCTACTTTTTGTCTTCTTCTGAACTTGGGTAAGCAAACAAGTGATGGCAATTTTCTATAACCCCTGGATGCGATAAGGAATATAATATCCCTTTCCTGAATTCGAGTTTGTACATTAAAGGGATAGTTGAGGTCTGTTGCAGAGGGCGCTACACAAAATATTTTTTTTTGTGAGATAATGAAAAACTGAGTGTCAAATTTGAAAGAACATATTTAAATGAAAAAACATCTTTGTTTGATCAAAATCGGTTCAGAGACGGCTGCAATATAACGATTTCAAATACTTTTGTACCACCACAAATATTAGATATTTTGAAAAATTTGAAAAAGCGAAATAACGCATTTTACGTCGTATTTCAGCCAATGCCAATGTTGGCTTTTTTGTTGGCATTTTCGTGTTGCTTTTATTGCACACAACCAGCCGGCCCATGTATTGTTATTTTTAATTAAATAATAATTAACGGTCTTGGAGCTGAATAGGTATGATCGTATTGGATAAATTTCACACATTTTAGGGTCTAAAATTACCTTCATAGCTATTTTATGTTCTAAAAGGGCACTATAAATGTCATAGATAAGAATAAGAGCAATAACCATGCACTTTGAAGGCATTTGCGGTCTGAAAACAGAATTCAACTATCAATAATTATGTGCCAACAAAAGATTGATAAAATTACAATGCATTCCAAATGGCACTTTCCCGTCACTACAGTCGTTAAGAAGACGTTCTACTTCCCAAAGTTAAAGCTGATTTTAAAAGATGATTATGGAGCGACCTTGTTGGTTCTGACTCAGACATGGAGAGAAAGGAACTATGGTATCTTCAGTGCACTGTCATGGATGAGGTGTCATGTACGTCATAAGAGACATTTCCGATGACGGAGTTCTATACCAACTTTATACTTCGGAGCGTGAAAGAAAGAGAAGGAGGTGAGAGATGGAGAGAGAGAGAGAGAGAGAGAGAGAGAGAAAGGGAGAAAGTGGGGGGGGGGGATAGATGGAGAGAAAGCGAGAGAGATGAGAGAGATTGGGGGAGAATAGAGAGAGTGGAGGAGAAGAGAGAGAGAGAGTGGAGGAGAAGAGAGAGAGAAAGGGAGAAAGTAGGGGAGAGAGATAGGGGGAGAGATAGATGGAGAGAAATCGAGAGAGAGAGAGAGAGAGGGATGAAAGAGAGGAGAGAGAAAAAGAGAGAGGGGAGGTAGAGAACGGGGAGAGATAGAGATGGAGAGAGACGCACACAGAGAGACAGAGAGGAGAGATAGATATAGCCAGAAAGAGAGAGAGGGGGGGGGGGGGTGGGTAGTTGGGGTGGAGATTAGTTTTAAAAGAACAGTGAAGTTGTTACGATGGTATCTCTCGTGTCCCTGCTCTGTTTTTATTAACTGATTTCATTGTAACGACTGAAGTGCCAGTTGCACACGAGCTGTCAGTCATTTCGATGGCTTTATTACGTGTGCTAATCAACATATAGACGCAATCATACACACGTAATTACAAGTAGTGTTTGCACTGTTCATTTTGCAGTCACACTGTCTTTACACGATGTCACCTTCACATGATGCGTCAAGGATTGCGCCAGTCACTGACGCAGTCCTACGTCAGGGAAATGACGCCTCGTGTGCAACGGCCATAACGATCGGATGCTCTTCGTTACGTTTCGACGTTCCGATGTATCATGTTGCTTGATAAGAACTTATAAAGTAATCATGACTGTCTTGTTTTATTTAACCCTGAAATAGATCACAGACTCGCCTTGTCGTTGGCCTAAGATGGCGTCCTGGCTTCACCAACTCTTCTCTTCTGTGACGTTACTCTGCGTCATCAGCCTTACACTCGGCTACGTACCCATTAACGAGCGACCTAGACGCATACCTGATCGAACTCGCCCCGTTGACAAGGTGGAAGACCGTGCACGCTTTCCCAGTCGACTGATACCGCAGTTGGGCCCGAACATCAGGAGCACGTCCACGGCCAACTTACCTTTCTTCGCGGTGGCCAGTATCAACAGACGGCTGGTCGCTGTCGAAGCCCACAGCATGACAGCGGATAGGGACATCGACGAGTTGTCTACGACAGTCTCTGATGTGCAGGAACAAGTAAGTCAGATCTCTTGTATTGTCATTGCCCAAACCCCAGCCACAACGCCAAACCGACTTCAAATTGACAATGAGCTGACCTGTGCTACGCCCGTCGGGATAAAATCTGTATTAGGGACTTTTAGATTTGCGTGGACTGATACGTGTGACGTCCATTCAAGGCAATGCATTAAAAGGACGTCGATCGTAGCAATCCACGTTGTCGACGTGCAAATCTAAAAGTCCCTATTATGTCGGTTTGCAGTTGGTTTGGTGTCAGTCTTTATGTTTTTATGTCTGGGGTATATCAAAAGACCTGTCCTCAATAGGCTAATTATAAACGGGAAATTATCTGATGATCATTCAAGTGGCAATTATCAAATATATACGGAAGCCCATTAGTGTCACCGGTGAATTAGAATTTAAACTGGCGGCCCCCAATTAATTACATCTTTCATAAATCGAAGACCTACCTGCACGCTATGACGACAGAAGCACATCATCCCCATAGCTACAATCGGCCAACCTTGATCTTAAGACACGTGTATTCCGACTGGAGACGAAAAGTCTCGAAAATTCCTTGTACAAGTGATCTTTACACAAAACAACGTAACTCCACTTATAATTATGATATCAATCTCAGTAAACAAACTTCTTACCCATCTTTTCTAGCTCGAGGACCTTCAGACTCTGATAACAGAAGCACACCCTCAACGACCACAGGCTTTCTCAGAGCTCCGATCGGCTAACCTGGATCTGGAAACACGCCTATCAAGACTGGAGACCGAGAATGAGGAGCTTCGAGAGTTCCTTGTGGGATTCGAACAGTTCTTCAACAGGCTGATGAGCGCCGACCCTGCGGCCTTCGATCCAGACGCTCCACCCGCACGGAGGCTATCAAGGTTCGTTCTATTAGTTGATTATAAAACAAACTTCTTTCGTATAACGTTCTGCAACTAAAGGGGCGAATTAAGGTTGGAGAGCCACGCAAGAGAAAGATCCTTGAAAGATAGGTTGTTCAGTATATGAAAGCATCCTTTTCGATTTTTTAAATCAAACAAATATATTTTGTTTTCAGTAGTGTATTTTATGGAGGGTTCAAACCGATTTTATTTGCTTATGATTGTTCGAGATTATTCTGTATTTGAACATTATTTATTTAACATTTCTAAATCTCTATTAATAAAATGTTTCACTAGTAATGTCATACAATTTCGTATAGAGTTTCAGCCCATTGTGGATCGTCTTTTGTTTCTACGTGTTTGCTATTAAAACAAAAATAATGAGAAATAGTTTGAAAGCAGTTTGCACGATCTAATCACTCCTATGTCTGCAGACTTCATCAGTATCTTGGTAACGCAGAAGCTGAGCTCATCGACGTCAGCAGACCAATCCTAGCGACCTCACCCGATGTCGACGATGTGATGGAGCAGGACAACGTCGATGACGTCCCGACTGCTGGAAAGACTGCGAAGGTCGTCGATCATTGGGAAACAGTGCAAGTCTCTCTCGCCAGAAATCAAAATGATACCGGTAAGGTCTCTCATGTCCCTAGGGAATTTCGAATCGGGGAAGAGTCGGGCCGGAAGTTTGACGAAAGAAAGAAAGGCAGATTTCTCTTGCCTGAAACCAACCCAGTGAAGTCCGGCCCCCAGCCTTTAAATATGCTGACAGACAACTGCTATGACTGGACTATAAGAGAGACATTTTAACGGGGAAGGGGAGGGGGTGTAGGCGTCACACACTTTACGTTATAGGTTTAATAGCTAACTTTTCCTTTCTTAAAACAGAAAAAAAGTACAAGTATTGTGAAATTTGTTCCAATGGTTTAGGTCTCATATGGAATCAATAATTGAATGATTTGAAAACTCAAACGAGTTTGTTGATCCTCATAAGATTGTGTCTTGTGAAATATATCATACCTAGTAGGTTTTTAATTCATACAATCTTAATCTCACTTTGAAGCTTCCAGAGACATTAACATCGCCCTTAAAAGCACATCATCACGAGCAGCCCCTCGACAGGGGCCAAGCATGACTGTGTCATCACTGCATTCAGCAACATCATCCAGAGTCACCCCGGACAGAGGATCGGGTGTCCACCTGTCGACCCTGGAGGCGGACCGGCTGGCTGTGGCCCTTGAGCAGCTAGAGACTCGTAACCAGGATCTGACAACACGTCTACGGACCCTGGAGAGACAGGCTGCTGATGCTGGTCCTGTCGGTGTCCAGGCCTTCGGAATATCTTCAACCGGGAACACCAACCATGTCACAGAAGAGGTAAACTTGAAAAAGAAACTAATTTAGAAGAAATTCTCATCCATTAAATTGTATCCCTTCAACGTTCAAAGCAAAATGTTCTTTTCAAGTTAACGTTGTAGACAAATCTGCTATGAAATGAATCGATAGGCGGCCTTGAAAAAGCAGATTCATATCCATTTCTGAAGCCGATGTTTTCCTAAATGCTTTCATGAGATTAATTCAGGGATATCAGGAATTTTATTTTCAAAGTCTTCATCAGTTTAACATCTCCACAAATATTGACAATTATTTATTTATTCATTATTTATTCGGCAATTCACACAAAGTATAATAATGTAAATATTAGTAAACGAACATTAAGAGAATTTCAATTATAAATGCACAATCTTCCTGAAGTCCTCTGAGTGCATCAGATGGCTGCCGGGGAAGAGGAAAGCAAACTAAACCACTGTAACCGTAATGGTCCCTCTTCCCGACTAACTGGTGCACCCAGAAGACCTGCAAAATATCATTTAACTCTTTTCTTTTTAAATCAAATAGCTCTTGAACAAAGTGGAAATCTTGGAACAAGTGGTGGCGCTCCAAGCGTCCTCTATCTTGGATGAAACACCTGCAGGAGATGGCCCAAGTGGTTCCGGTGCATCTAGGGTTCTAACACGGGAAGAAGCTACTGTGAGTAGAGTGTCCTCGACCAGCATGAAGCAGGAAGATGTCGCCATCATGAAAGATGTTCTGCAGGAGGCCCGTAGCTCCGGATCATGTAAGTATTCTATAAAAACATGCTGAATAAATGATTTTTTTTTAAAGTTGATGTTACACAAATCGTTCTGGACAGTTTGCAGAATGCATTTGCGTAATTTTGATTGTCATAGAAAATTAAAACTGAGATACTATACAGACGGAACGGGAGGCAGTATTCACTTACACCTTATAAAACTTTGGCAACGGTTAAAAACTTGATGGCTATTTCATTGTCGAAGGAAACCATCCAAATCACTTTGTCATATACCTCCTTTAAGTGTATGTCGGAAAAATAAAACCTTTTTTAAAAATTTGCATTGTCATCTGATACACGCATACGATCTCGATCTGATTTTCTCTACGATAACTCATGCCAAGCTTAAAAGCATGAGAAAAAAAAAGAATTGAAAACAAAATCAAATCAAACGGCAATTCTACGAAAGTTTTAGTTAGATGTTACATTAACATAGCATTGTTTTTAAGACGAGTGAACAAAGTATTTAGGTTGCTTGTTTGACGTGATATGGCTAAACTTTTTTTTTACTCACGAATAGTCATGTGTCATTTGGGAAAGAAAGTATTTTACAAAATCGATGCCATGTTCTCAACAAACTTTCGAAATTTCAGTCGCCGATACAAATTTTTCCTCATTCGCAGCTTCCAGGAAAAGTGCGTTCTCGGTTGCCAGGACAACGCCTCTGTTAGGAACAGATGATCACCAGCAAATCGAATTCGATCACGTTTTCGTCAACAAAGGACGAGATTTTGTCCAAAGGAATAGTACATTCATCTGCGAGAGGGCGGGCTACTATTTCATCACATTCCAGTAAGTATTCATTGACTCGCCATGTTTATCAGGTTTGGGGGAAAAATGATATCTTGGTTATGACGACGATATTTAGGATAAACAATGCACTCACCCTTTACCCTTTCTGAGCATCGCTCAAACGGGAAATCAATTCCAATTTTACTGAGGGAAAATGAAGTTCTTAAAGACATTTTAGGTTTTTGGACACATCTGTTTGGCAATGACAATTTGTCTTAGTTTTTGTTTGAGACGTTTCCAAATATGGATATAACCTACAAGCAATAGATTAAGTAAGTAATACAAAGTTTTTGTATGGGGTCATGAATTTGGTTCAAATGAACATATTGGAAGCATATGCGATCCTACAAGATTCATTGATCGTTGTCGCGGTTGAAATCGAGTCTGAAGTTATGAAATTGTAAATAATAATGTCTTTATGTTGTATAGCTCCCTCTCAAGGTCAAGATATTAATTAAGCTATAAAACAATGTTTCTTGACTAAAATCGACCGATTAGCTATTCCCGTTATATAATTATATATCACAACTACATAATTATTCTGAGAATTTCATGGTCGCAGCTACCCTTGTACGGCCGTAGGCGCTATTTGAAATTTATCAAAATTTACCGGGAGCACCGGTAAATTTTTATATTTGATTTTTCTCGAAAACAGAAGTGTTTTAGGGGCTAAATTTTCTAGTGCATAAAATGCATCCACAGGGGCATCCAAATATATCAAAATTGTAAAGAATCACTATCCACCCCATTTTCAAAATTTCCCAAAACTTTGTATTACCTTTAAATGTTTGAGCTACATTCTACTTCGCGGCAGTGATAGAGCTTGATTTTATAACATAGGCCTATCATAATAATAAAATTGGATTTTCAGGCGTCCCAATCTTGCAAAATAAAAGCATGTGGGAAAGTTGGTGAGTTTTAAAGCTCATGCACCTTTGTTGTTAATATTGCACATTAACACGTGCCCACCCTCCACCAACCGCCCACCCCCTCCGTCGAATGACCTCCCCAAAATGGCAGGGATGACGAGAAAGAAAGATATGAAGAGGCTGGAGTAGGCAACGTGACTGTAGGACCCCTTGTCATTGTTATCTTGCTGTCCATCCAACTAGTAAGGCCGGCGCCCCCAGGATACCAGCCCCCCCCCCCACAAACTCCAACCCCCCCCCCCCCCCCCAAAAAAAAAATAAAATAAATAAAATAAATAAATAAATAAATAAATAAATAAATAAATTTAAAAAAAATAAATAAATAAAAAAAAAAAAAAAAAAATCATGTAGTACATGAACTTCATGTCTGACTGACTCAGTTCCTCATGTCCTCACCTTTTACCACCAGTCTTCGCTCATACGATGGACTCTACCTCGGCGTCTCGCTCATGAAGAACGACGAGATTGTCAGCGCCATCTTCACCGACGCCCACGAGAGGAACGTGATGGAAGGCCAAAGCGTCATCCTCCACCTCGAGCCTGGCGATGCTCTCTATCTCCTTCTCGGACCCTCACCCGACTTCGGTCTGCACAGCAACCATCGCAAATACGTCACATTCAGCGGATTCATGATCTACGGCGGCTATTGAGATGTGATATATATAGTCGGGTCCAGGGGCCCGTTTCATAAAACTAGTTATCTATAACAACTGCTAAATTTAGGTGACAAATGTTCTCTCAGCCAATCAGATGCCATGATTTCAGTAGCTTATAATAGCAACTTGTAACTTGTTATGGATAACAAGTTTCATGAAACAGGGTCCAGTCCTGCAGTGAAACTGTGATGATGGATGGACTTGGATGATATGAATAATAGTGATATTTGATACTCTTTTAGTGTTCAAAATAACGGAACGTGATCAAGACGTAGTTATTTTGCAAGGACAAATCCTTGATAATTAACCCTTTGACTACTGAATTATCTCATTACCATAGGCTTAATACAGGGAGCACCCGGTTCCAGTAGGCAAGGGGTTAAAGTCTCGCTCGGATATGACGCGGTAATGAGAAACATATATTTTTACCATTATTATTATTTAGGTGTTAATGAATGGCAAATGCGCGCAACAAAATAAATGACATGCGCGTTTTCACTGAGCTCTGCCAAGGAAGCTGTCTATCATTATCTCCATTGTATTGTATTTTTTTAATGTGTTGTCATTTCTAGTAATGCATATTTTGGGTGTGCAGAACATTTCCAAATTAAAAATACCAATATCTCACGAGTCACGATGCTATATTCGATTTAAATTTCTTTGAAATCAATTTTCTTATTTGTAGTACAAAGTGAGACCCTGTTGTAAATAATGAAATAATTTTCTTTTGCCGAATAGATATAGAAAATGATCGTTTAATCGTTTGACAAATCTATATTTTGGAGAAAGGCCTACAGACAATTGGTTGTGCGTGGGTCGTAGCTGTTATTTTTACTTTGTCATCATGTAACATGTAACATTACATTTGTAAATGTATGAAGTAAAGTAAAATTTCAATAAAATGTAAATAATATTTTGAATACAGAAAGGTCACGTGTAAACAAGTTGTCTGTTCACTTTGACTACATCTTATACTGATTTTATGTTTTGTTTTTTCGAAGGTTTCTCCGAAGGTCCATAATTCCTAAAGTTCATATTTTCGAAATTGAAATAGGGCTTATAATTCCGAAGTATTTAATTACTTTTGTCTTTTTTTATTATGTTATAATGTAAATTGATGTAAATATATATGAAATGTGAAATATGTGAAATAAAACACCTCGGTAAGAGGATATGAAGAAAAAAATTCCGAAGTTTCATAATAATATTCCGAAAAAGACATAGAACCCTAAAATGTTTTTCGGAATTATGAACCATAAAGGTAAAAAGGACATTCGGAAAAACGAGAGCCCCATCATTATACAAATATCAGGTAAATTTTCCTTTATACCTACATGTATTGTATTGATAGCAGATATAATAATAAATTCGTTTATACAGCACTCTTTCACATATTGAATGGATTCACATTATTTACAATTAATAGCCAACTATCAAAAATACTGTCCCCCACAGACTACACGGCATTGTATTGGTCTGAACAATCAGTACACGTATAATGGAATAACACCTGATTATCCCCATAAGGCCTAAATACAAAAAGATGTTGTATTGACCTATAGGTGCCAAAACATGGGTCGGTCGGTAGGATTTTTTTTTCTTTAATTTTTTTTTTAAACTCCCTCTTTGGGCTGATATTTCTCAGTTTTGAATGCTTTGATACATTTTTTTTTCTTTATAAAATGGAAAAAAATACGTTTTAAAAAGCCGACCGTAGATTTCAAGATTTTTGGGTCGGTCGCAAAGGGCAATACAACATCTTTTTTTAAAGGCCTAATATTATGCAACGCGCCTAAACCCTAAAAGGGCCGGGTGGACTTTTTTTTGGGGGGGGGGCGGTAACTTTGCGGCATTTTTTGTTCTAGCCCCGTGCTTTCATGACTTTAAACCCAGAGTCTGGCCCATCTTTTGACACCAAAATATTGGAGAATAAAACAAAATTTCAACCCCCTATACTTTAATATACAAACACAACCTGATCATAATTGATTAAAGAGGTGATTATCCATAAAGTACCAAATTTCAAGGTTATATTCGCATAGAGTTACTATATTTTTATGTGCCATATTTCAAGATATCTCATCGTTGCGCGATGGCCAAGATCACCTCACCCCCTTCCTCCGCCTCCCCCTCCCGGCTGTAAGATTGCCTACAAAACTTAGCCTCTGAAGGGTTAAGATTATCGCGTATCAGCAAATGGGACCAAAAAGAAAACAAAATAGACAACAACGCACCTTTTTCACACAACCCTAAATAACGTTCCCTTTTAACTCATTGCTGTCCAGGAACCCGGTGGTCCCTGTATTAAGTCTATGGAAATGAGAAATTTCAGTAGTCAACAGGTTAAGAGTTTAGACTGTCTGCGGGTTCGCGTGCTATCACCATATCGAGCGCCCTCTTTCACACGTTGGATGGTGGCAAACCCCAAATTAGTCGATAAAAAGTAAACATCTGGGCGGGATCTCTTTGTTGATTGAAGGCTACCAATCATTTTGTACATGACAATGGAAACAAAAATAGAAAACAAAGAAAAAAAGCAAACCACAATGAGTACAGATATTCATACATTTAAATCAAAGTATTTTCTCGTTCGTGACGTTAACTACGTCTGACGGACAGGGGAGTACCAATTTCGGAATTCAACTCGTTAAAGGTTTTTCTTTAGTAGTATTAATTTTGCACATCACATAAATGGAAAGTGGATTGAAACCAGAATCACCACAGGTACAAGTACATTAGTTTTTTTTTATTGACTTTAATAATTGTTTGCTTGCCTACTGTTTGAGTGCAAAAAAAAGGGAAAGGGTGCAACATAGAGAAAGAGAGATTAAATAAAAGGAAGACAAATTTTGATCTTTGAGGATTTTTCAGAAAGTTTTTTCAGGGTTTAATATGCGAAAACTTGCTAAAGGTCACACGTTTCGGTCCCTCGCTTGAATGCTTCGTGCTCTCATAAATTTGCGACCCAGTTATAAGATACAGTTCATAATTAAATGGTTAAAAATTTGAACAATACACAATTCGTGTTTTTACTTCGCTCTCTATTTCAAATAGAGAGCAAAGTAACACGAATTGTGTATTGTTGAATTAATAAGTTTTATAGACAGGACTGATTATAAAATAAAGGACACACATTTCAAGTTTTAAATTATTACAGGGATTTTGTGCATGTTTATACACATACAAAGTGCAAGAGGGTAATAATAATAATAATAATAATACTCAGGTTTGGATCACTCTGCCTTTCTTCTTACTTCATTAAGGTGTAGTAAAGTATTATGTGTATATATCTTTTTCAGTTTCAACATAGATACACATGTGTATATATCGTTTTCAGTTTCAACATAGATACACATAATACGCAGCAGTGTTCTGCAAAAACTTGGACTGCTTAGTCTTACTTTTTGTTTTGTTTTGTTTTGTTTTCTTCCATCAGTGTGGACTCTGATGAGCTTAAATTTGTTAGTGTCTTCGGCACTTACAGTATTTCCAAAATGCGTCTGAAAAAACTTGCAAGCAGGCGCAACTTATCAGCTCTGATGGCAGTCATCCTGATGCAGGTTGTTCTGACATATTTGGGCGTACTGTGGGTGGCTCTTGATAACACTAACGCTGAGGGTAATCTATACAAAGTTAAGCGCCAGGACGCGGCTGTCACAAGTTTTGGAGCTAACTCAGCTGAGGACAACAGTGCTCATCTAAAGACGTCTAACCAAAGTAAACTTCCCAGTGAGATTTTGGTTAATGACCCCAAGAATGTCCTGGTCAGTAAAGTTCGAGTGGCAGGAAGTAAATTACTGCTTCAGTTGTTTTCAAAGAGCACGTCTTTTTGTGACGGCAAGATTGAAATGTTAGACAACGCCGCGGCAATGTTCAGGAATGCAGTAGTTGATCCCTCGCTTGCCAGCGCCCAGGCAGAAAGCAGAGCCAGCATCAAGGATGTCCTTTTACAGAAAGAATCGCTGGAGTTTTACCGCCTTAAAAAGGGATACCTCACAGTCGACGATTGCTCCAATGTACCGGCCCCTGAAAGTTTACAAATTGACGGGGAAGATAGCGACCACATAAAAGAACTGAATAAGGCAGTGGCAATTTCAGAGAATCATGCAGACGTCAAACAGCAATATGACGGTGATTTTGTAATCATGATAACACGCTACGAGTATGCCAACGTATACTGGACTGTCGTTGATCTCTATGATGCTTTCCTTATGATGCAACTTTATAATAGAACATTCGACTCAACTGGTATTCTGAACATTGTTGTAAGTTTTGTGTTATCTTTTGTTGTATCTTCCAGAGATAACACAGCGCTAATATTGTTGTAAGTTGGTATTCTGAACATTGTTTTATCCCTGTGTTATCTCTTGAAGGACCGCCTCTATCTTATCTTTGACCATTGATGACACGCCCATTTTTATGGACCCTACCAATCAAAATCTATTTTATATAAGCATGATAAGTAGATCAACCAATAGGAATACTTTATGCCATATCTGAAGATGCGCCTAGCGCATACTAATCTTGGGCGTAATTAGTTATTTGAGCACTTATTACGCGCGTCATCATTTTGCGCTGTTGAATGTGGATCATGAAGACAAATCACGCTTTCACTATATTGGTTAAGATGAGAGCATTAAAATAGTCCTATCCTAGCATGTAATATCTTAGAAAGTTCTCATCTGTGATGTTTCCGGTCAACACACAATCTTCTTCTAACTCGTCTATTGGCACGAAGTTGGTTCTGGGCAAAAAATATTGCCGCCATTATATCACCACGAAAGATACAACAACCCCCTACCTGTTGTAAATATTGTTGTAAATACCATGCAAGATAAGATAAGATAAAAGATACAACAACTTTCAGAATACCAATTATCTCGACATATTATCTCCCGTGCGCATATGCAAATGAGAATTAAATGCCACTTTATTAATAATACGCACAGTTACAAGCGCACCAAAGTATGAGCGCAGGCGCGGCCAATAAGATGAGAGAAAAGATACAACAAAAGATAACACAAAAGTTACAACAATGTTCAGAATACCAACTTTATCTTATCTTCAAAGATACAACAATATTAGAGATAACACAGGGTTCAGAATACCGCCCCTGACCTCTGGCTCTTTGACGCTCACCCACAGTCAAAACTCGATGATATTTTCGACGGGGTGTTCAGGCATGTAATCCGACCGAACGACTTCAACCGCCCCACTCGTTTCAGGAAATTAGTCCAGTGTTTCCAACGAGGGAAAAGCCCTATTCTGAGAAAGATTCTTGAGCCTTTACCTCTTGTGAAAGAATTCAGAAGTCAAGTTATAGCGGCATTGAAAATTGATCCGCTGGCAGATCGCAAAAGGCGTTGCGTGGAGATGCAACTCAACGTGCTCTTTATTTGGCGCAGGAATTATATTGCGCATCCACGAAACCCATCAGGAGTTGTTTCAAGAAAAATTTCCAATGAAGACGAACTATTGAACGTAACAAAAAGTCACTTCCCTAAATACAGCGTCATCGGAGAACAACTGGATGCATATCCTGTGAAGAGACAGCTGGAGGTCATTGGTAACACGGACATCATGATCGGCATGCATGGAGCAGGTTTTGGATTTGTCGTTTTCATGCAGGAGGGATCTGGAGTTCTTGAGATGTGGCCGAAGGGTCTACAGGGAAATTGGCACATGGAATATCTTGCCAAACGCAACTGGCTTTATTACAAATCCTGGCAAAACACCAAAGAGGAAAATGAAGACAGTAAGGAGAAAACAACTAAAATATCCACTGAAGCTGTGAAAAAGTTGGTGGAAGAGTTAAGTGAAAGTGTGTGCTCAAAATACATGTAGGAGTATTTTATAGTATCATCATTCCATCCAATGTTGCATAGGAACAATTGTGAAAGGTGAACTTACATGTACGTCATATTTCACAACTCACTCATTGGCTGATATTACTTACGTGATTTTACTTTATCAACAAAGTGCATGGACATGAGACTTTCTGTAAGTCTTCTCCTTAATGTGTTATTGTTCCTGTAGTTCCCTCAGTGAGTTATATTCAGACTCTAATTTATATGTGGGGTCCCTGTTTAAGCGTTTATCAGTATTATCTGACAACAAATGGGTGCGTTTATTGCTTAAATTTTGAAGGCAGAATGAGCGATTTGTAACGCTCATCGTAAACGCTCATCGTAATCGCAGTTCCACGGTGTACTGTTTATGCTCACTTCTCCGGCTCCTCCAGGCAATTCTCCCTGTGTGGCCTTAATTGGTCTTCCAGCTGGATTCGCAAACCTTCACTGTGCATGCTACGTAGACCCACTAGAGGTCAGTGCGTTGACCCCATTTAAACGCGTTTACAAATTGTAAACGCATCTTTTTGTGAGTTTACGATCGGCGATCGTGATCGCCGTTTTTCGGTGATTCTACAAAAGTGAGCATGATCGCAACCGTGTTTTAAACTAAACGCGTAACAGATGCCTGATTCTGGCCAGAAAAAGTTAAGCATAAACACGCCCAATAATTATTGGCTGTATACTGTATATATCTTGTCCAAAGTGACTGTGGTTCAACCTTTATCAGATGGTAGAACAATACGATCTTTATCATTGGCCAAACTTTTAACTGCTCTACTATACCGGATTGTTGGCTCAGTCAGTAGAGCGTCCGCCCGGCCCCCCCCCCCACTCAGTGTTATTTAGGGTACGCATATGCTCGTACCCTCTTTTTGAAAGCACCCCCTATCTGAGGACTGCCAACATTTCCGAACCCCCCTTTCGCAGGCTTTTTGCGGGCTTTTCCTGCCTTGGAGACCCCCCTAAATCACGAAAAATGCTCTATGTACCCCCCTAAATTCGGAATAATTTCTCAGGATTCCAAAGAGATGAGAGAAAAAAAGAAAAACACCCCCTTTTTAAAGAAATCTCCGGGTGAAAAGTCAAATACACCCCTTTTTTTTTACAAATCTCGGGCCGGACTTTGTTGCACGAAAAGTACCCCTTTACCGGACATTTTGGCAACACGCATGCGGTCATTCCGACCTCTGAGTGGGGGGGGGGGGGGCCGGGAGCGTCCGCCTCACAACCGGGAGGTCGTGGGTTCGAACCCCGGCCGCGTCATACTAAAAGACGTTAAAAGATGGGAGTTGTTGCTACCTTGTTTGGCGTTCAACAATAAGGGATAGAGCAACGTCGATCTGGCGCTGCTCGGTGGGTGCCGGGCTCACGATCAATTGGGCAAAAAGAATTTCCGTTTCGGTTTAATAAAATTTGGAGTGGACTATTAGGCTATTATTATCCGTTCTGGAGAGAATAGGTCTCGGGGGTTTTGCCGACTTTAGAATACTATTTATTTTATTTATTTATTTATTAAAACATCTTTTAACAGGATAACATTGATCAGCTCGCAGGCTGTTTTATACAAATGGTCCTGCATAAGGATGGAAAATACAAATACAAACTGACAATAAGAGTAGTTACAAACAAAATAGCAGTTTTATACAAATGGTAAAAAACGAAAACAACACAAATAGAAAAATTAGGATTAGGGAAAACGAAAAGAGGAGAAAAAAGATAACATAATGCAATATGACATTTACATTATGACATTTTACATTAGAATTAAATATAACAATGAAGTTGATAAACATTTTATGTCGAGATTAAGCCCAATGAATTGTGAATACGGTTTATATTGCATAATTATAAAAGCTAAATATCAAGTTTAGGACGCAATAATGCAATATGACATTTACATTATGACATTTTACATTAGAATTATATATAACAATGAAGTTAATAAACATTTTATGTCGTGATTAAGCCCAATGAATTGTGAATATGGTTTATATTGCATAATTATAAAAGATAAATACCAAATTTAGGACGCAATGTAGGTATTTGAAATTTCTAGGTAATTGGGTTAGCAATCATTATAGTTATTGCATATAATGTTGTAGTAGTGAGGAGAAACGGCAGTGAACAAATTTTATCCATTAAAGGAAGATTTCTTATATTGATATTTAAAACTCTCTACTGAATTGGCATTTTGGATATCATTGGGAAGCTATTCCGATTAACCGCTCTCAGCATACATAAAAGATTGTTTGAATAAGGTTACGTTGGGTTTTGGCAATACTACATTAAGGGAGTTTGCATTTCTTGTGTTTAGGCCATGGCGGTCGAAATACACTTCTATTTCATTTGATAAACGAGGTGGAGCAGTGCCCCTTATACATTTAAACATAAGCATAGCCAGAAAATAATCACGGCGCTGATCAATAGTTTGCCAGGACAGTTTTTGAATCAATGTGTTGCCGCTTGCAAGTTCATAGTCAAATATACCAGTTACATATAGCAGCTCTTTTCTGTAATCTCTGAAGGGGCAGCTAGTAGCTGGCTGGGCAATTCCCCAATACAGATATTGCATAGCAGCGCTCAAAATACACGGGGGCGGTGGGCGATTCGCCCCCTTGAGCTACATAATCGCCCCCGTCAGGTTGCTCACGGGGGCGATTGCAAAATTAAAAATCGCCCCGTGGAATTATAAAATAAAGATTATCTTTTCTGTTATAACTTTAACACAATATTGAGTTTCAATTTTCAAACCTTAAACCAATGAAATGGAACTTAGATTAGCGTGCAAGATAGGCCTAGTTATTACCGATTCAGCTCGCAGTGCAGTGCTGCCGTCATCAGTGGTTATAGGCCTACTGCGCCGTTAGTAGCGGTACGTGTGCACGCTGCCGCGCCATGTCTGCTGGAGCTGGAGGCGATCGCGCAAGGGCAGAAACATGGTCGTGGAGAAGTTTTTCGTTGTGAAAGCGTTAACCCGCTGAAATCTGGTGATTTCAAATGACCAGCAAATAATGAAACTCGACCAGTAAATCAATATTAGGGACTTTTAGATTTGCACGATGAGAACGTGGACTGCAACGTGTGACCTCCTTTTAAGGCAGTGCCAGTGCTTAAAAGGACATGACGTGTGGCTGCCAGTGCCTTAAAAGGACGTAACACGGCCACGTCCATGCAAATCTAAAAGTCCGTATAAAGAAGAAGAGGAAGACCAAGATGTCGTGGAATGATATGGTAACATGGGCAGATCTAGGGGGGGGGGTTAGGGGGTTTAACCCCCTCCTCCCGGCCCACTTGGGCTGCCAAGTGAAAATGTGACATTAAAGCGGGGGGGGGGGGGGGGGAGAGATGCTGGAGAGGAGGACTACTAATCTATTTTATTTTTTTCAGGGGGGGGGGGGGGAGTGAAGCGCCGTTTTAGTATGACTTTCTTTTTAACTCTTACTTTCACCTATCTCAGATAACCCTAAGTTTTTGGTTGCTGCTTTATAATGTAGTTGATAATGCATGATTAAAATAAAGAAAAGAGAGAGAGAGAGAGAGAGAACCACCATCATTTTGCAATGGTTCAGGGTTCGTGTAATGTACATTTGAAACCATTTCTTAGCGTCTCAACCCTAAAAAATAGCAAAACAATTTTTAAGGAAAAGCATTATACTGAATTAAATAAAGATTAATAGCTTTATATTGGATCAAAGTAATACTGATACGGGCTAAAGACAATGTGGTATTTGTATAGAGGTATTTCAAAATGACATTCTGATAATCAACATTTGTTCTGGTATCATAATATATACGCATAATACAACTGATCTTTATGATTTCTTAACGTGACATAGCTTCTTCTCCCCCTGCAAACAAAACAGAAAACAAGGTTATTTAATAAAAGGATCATGTGACAAATAATCATTGTGATTCAAATTGATGCAAGGATTTTTTTAAAAATAAGCAATGCTTTTCACCAGAATCTTCTTTGTAAAACGACTGTGTTGTAAGATCACTTTCAGATTAGGAGAAGTGTATTCTATAATGAGTATTTTACATTGAATGGAACGTCACAACTCAGAAAGCATGGATGAGATTTGTAAAAGTTGTTTTTACAAAGAAGATTCGGGTGAATAGCAGTGCTTATTCAAACAAATATTCGCATCAATTTGAATCACAATCATTATTTGTCGCTTAATCCCTTTTAATGATCTGTTTTCTTTCTCGTTTGTAAGGGGAGAAGAAGATATGTCACATTAAAGACATCGTAAAGATCAGTGTTGTATGCGTATATTTTATATACACAGGCCAGTAACAGCTATGTAGCTTGTAAATTTGTAAGAGGGAAAATGCTGATTGAAATGATAATGATGAAATAGCAAATAATTGAGGAGTATCGTAGGTACCAATTCGATGGATATTTGTATAAAAAAGAGCCCCCGTCAGTACTAAAAGAGCCCCCGTGAGAAGGCTCACGGGGGGCTCTTTTGGGGGGGGGGGGGAAGAGCCCCCGTGGACAAAAATTACTTTGAGCCCTGCTTGCCATGCTGCTTTTGAATTACCTTCCTTAAATTTATTTTCTACCTTACTACAGTACTGGCGCTTCCTATTTACAATGTATTTCCTGAAACTCTTATTTATTGCTTTTACTGAATCTGGGTCATTATTCTTAAAAGCCTCTGCTTTGTTATTTAGAAAGACTTTACACTGCTTGTCTACCCATGGTTTGTTATTTGGATAGATTTTGATCGCTTTCTCTGGCACTTTCATGTTCTCACAAAATTTGATAGAATCAGTCACTACCTCTACAGCTGCTTCAAGAGATGTAGTTTCAAGGAGCACTTCCTTGAAACTAAATTTGAATGAACATAACATTTAAATGACAAAATCATCTTTGTTTGATGAAAATCGGTTCAGAGACGGCTGAAATATCCATAAATATAACGATTTTTAATACTTGTGTACCACCACAAATATTAGATAATTTTAAAAAGCCGTTGAAAAAACGAAATAGCGCCTTTTATACCCGCGCGGCTACGAGCCATCACTTCGTGAAAACAAAATGAAAGCGTTCTATGTAATTTGTGTTTTCACGAAATGACGGTTGTGTTAAAAGTTCAAACAGAGGAATAAAAAAGCATCTACGGAAAGAGGAAAATGTACTCTATCTCGTAGTTCGAGTTATTTTATCTGTACATCAATTAAACATAACGTTTTGCCGTATTTAGTGTCCATTTCGGGAATTCCATCCACGAGAGAAAAATCCCGTATGTTTTACGCGAGCGGCTACGAGCCGTCACTTCGTGAAAACAAAATTACAGCGCGTCCTTGAATTTCGTGTTTTCACGAAGTGACGGTTATGTTTACAGCTCATTTCCCCCCCAAAATATAATAAATTATGGAAATAATTAAACATAGAACTAAACATTGAGATATGTTCTATCCCAGGATATAACATTTATTTGCCCTTGATACATTAAAGAGGTTGAGATGATAGTTTGAAAGTTTGAAAGCGATTTATTCAAAACTAACTTTCTTTTAATTGCACGCCGCTCATCCGTCACTTCGTGAAAATAGGGACGAGTTGTGGGGTCAGAGGGGTGGCGTCGGTCAATCCAAAACTTTTTCTACTCGTAGTCGTTTCTACTTTTTTGTAATCCTGGTCATCGAACCTCAGATCTTCCTCTTGGTCATGTTGATTTGAGGCAAAGGAAGTAAGCCTAGAGTGATGGATCAAAAGCTATAAGCTTTAGGAACTCATTCCGTCCTAATGCATGAAGTTGCGTTATTATTTGTATATGTTGCGTATCATTATGACGCAACAATATGCTACAAAGACACATCAGTAACGCACAATGACACACTACAGAGCTCCGTACAGACCTCTGTACTCGCGCATAAGTATTGTGACGTATGACATAGCGACGCCAAGCAACAAGGTACGTTATGTCACAGTAGTCCAGCAAGGCTTTGGTTATCTTGTAACATCCCTTTAATACATTTCTTTTTATTCTACAGCTCTCTAGATTGTATATATTGATAACCATTAGCAGCCTATTTGTTGTAGTGACAATTGCAAGGTAGGCGTATTACCTTTATTTATATTATATGTATTATTTCTATATTTTTGTTTAAGAATTCTATGGAATTAATACCTCACGTTAAGGGAAAAGCAATTATTTTTATTTTATTAGTTAATTCATCGAGCATATTAAATGGCCAGCACGTATCCCCCGACCCCTCTCATCCATCCCGGCACCCATTCAGAGCCTTTCGCAAGACAGAGTAGATCTACAGTAAATACAGATTTAAAAGAACACAATAGCTAAAAACAATGTGTCTCTTGTCTGTGGCGATTCATGTGAGGGGGGGGGGGGGTGCAACTTTCGTAGTAACAATGATAATAATATATTGCATTTATTGTACTTGCAAGCTATCTTCACCACTTGATATACCATAATCCTGATATTTACTAGAATGTGCAATGAAAGAGCGAAAATAATACTCCCTTTTTTAGCCTTTAATTTTGTCTGTATTGGTGGCGCCGATCAACCTAGTTTTTCCGTTTAAAACACCCTCGTCGATTTGGACCGCCGACCAAGATGTTTATAGATGGCGCTATTGCAATTGAGAGTTTCTGTGAAGTTCTTGTCTATTTGCACAGATAGATTATACCTATTATTGAAAGATCTCCAGTGTTAAATTTATTATAAACTATTCTTTTTTAAATAAAAAATCTCTGCTACTATTCCCAAATTTTGATACGACAATCACCACCATCTTTGGCCTTTGAGCCAGTGGCGGATCCAGGAGGGGGAGGGGGAGGGGGGGGGGGGGGGGGGAGGGGGAGGGTGGAGGGGGAGGGGAGGGGGGCCGGGCCTGCCTTGGGGAAAAAGCATGTAAAACCCGTGATTTTTACCTTTTTTTACACACTGTGTGCACACAATCTCCACTCCCCGGGGCCCAATCCAGCCAGGCGTTACCTGACACTCAAAAACTGTTTGACCAACAATGACGGTCACATCCTACCGGGTACCCATTTAACATCTGGGTTGAGAGTAGCAAGTGCATGTTAATATCTTGCCAAAGGATATTATTAGTGCCGTGTCGGAATTCGAACCCCCGACCTTCGCATCTCCAGTCAAGCGCCCTAAACACTCGGCCACGACACTCCTAAAGAGATAAAAGTTGTAATTGTATGATTGTTTGACAAATCTATATTTTTAAGATTAAAGATTGGCCTATAGACAACTGTTTGTACATGGGTCGTAGCTTTCATTTCAACTTTGTCATAATGTATACTTAAAAAGGGGTTTCTATATTAAAGATGAAGTTGAGTTCTGTTCATGCGATTGCATTGTGAAAGAAACGGTGTGGAACCGACCAGAAAAGGTTGATCATCTAGCATATAAGAATTTGTGTAGTTTGAACATATTTGTGCTTACACCCAGTAAATAAGATCGATTGATCGATCTGTAATTGAAAAACAAGTCAGAAAAAATCTTGGAACCAGCGCTATTTGAACTTGCCATCTACTGCTTGCCGGGCAGCGTTATTTTTTTATGCGGCACAGATTGGGGCTTTTTTTTAAAAGGGGTCTTGATTTACAGACTAATAGTGGTCGTGTGCGTGATGAAGTAGCGCTACATACTATGCACGCATGCACACACAGTACATGTTAAACAGTGTACCAGTATTTCAATATCACGATGCTTTTTTAATTGCTTTGGTTGTGTGTATGTATTACAAAATATGTTATGCCTGTAAGGCTGTAATGCAAGAGTATAGCAGGGTATCCCTGAGTATGGTGTGACATTTCCACAACACCTTTCAAATACATCATGCATCATGTTGGCCATGCTGCATTACTTGTTTGATAAACGTTTTGAACGATACTGTAATTGAATTTCTGTCAATGGGTTGGATCTTATAAAAATGTAAATTAAGGTTCATCATCAGACAGCTATGTAATTCATTATTTCATGTTTTATGACAGCACAATGTCCAATAAAAAAAATAAAAAATAAAAAAAATTCTGTTATGAATACTATTAATTGTCTTATTCTTTCCTATAAACAGAAGGGGCTCATGTTATCAAGAATTTGTTTAGGCTAATGTTTTGTTTATTTCGTTTTTCACATGGAAAAGGAAAATAATTAATGGTCTTTCAGATGGCATGATGCCCAACTACTCCTTGCAAAAGTTCCCCACCGCCATCCATCCACTCCTCTCCCACCCCCCCCCCCACCCCCATCTTTCTCCCTCTCTCGCTCACACACATACACACATTCTCTCTCTCTCTCTCTCTCTCTCTCTTATGCTCACTCTTGTTCATTGACATAAAACACTATAACAAAAATCTGACTCTTGTGTTTCCTTTAATTGTCGTTCTTGTACTGTCTGACATTAATTATGTCTTCGTATAATCGCACGAATGAGTGCCATGCAAACCCCATTTGCAAAATTGCAAGGCTATAGCTAGCAGTGATCTTATATTTTGAAGAAATGATACAAATTAAACCTTGAGGGCAATAACATTTAAAAATTGCCCCGCTCAGATGTCTGATACGATTAATAATAATAAATAAAAAGGAATTAAGTAATTATCATAAATCGAAATGATGAAAATTTAAAAACAAATATAGGAACAATTGTAATATTAATAGAACAGTAATAACAAGAACGATATCAACAATAATATTGATAATAATAATGAAAATGGTATTACTACTACTACTACTACTACTTCAAATATTATCAATAATAATAATAATAATAATAATTATAAACCAAACAGTATGAAGTTTTAAGATTTTGTCTTAAACATTCCAACTGATTTGACTGTTAATGATATCATAGGCTGTGATTTATAATACAGATCACTTAGGAAACAACCCCATACAAGTATGCTCTTTTGCTCATCTGACAAACACTGTAGTCAAGTTGATGAATATCTAAAAGTTTCATTTAAAACAAGGATGAATCGCTAAAAGCCGTACCATTTACAAAAGTGATTAATAAGTTCATTTATGAACCTTATAGTTTCAGGATAGGTCATACATGTATGTCTAACTAGATGGAACTTCGACTGCGCGCAGTCGAAAATGATGCCTCCGTCATAGCAGTTTACAAACCAAAACAGAAGAATTTTTCAAATTTAAGTTTCATTGTAATCCATTAACAGGTTCTCAGAATATTGTGATTACAAGCAATTTCTCATATACATATATGACCCTTTAATCTTTGACCTCATGACTCTAAAATCTACTCAGTTCATTGGCTCTGCAAGACGTCCTGAGTTAAAGAGTAATCCATCTGTCAGTTCTAATGAGAGTGCGTTCACAAGCTATTATTGCATACATAATGAGCCCATGACATTTGACCTTTGACCTCATGACCCAAGAATCTACTCAGTTCATTGGCTCTGCAAGATACATACATGATCTAAGTTTGGCAGGAATCCATCAATCTGTACTAATGATAATGCGATCACAAGCTATTTTTGCATACATAATGAGCCGCATAACCTTTGACCTTGACCTCATGACCCTAAAATCTGATCAGTTCATCAGCTCTGCAAGTAACATACATGACCAAGTTTGGCAGGAATCCATCATCGGTTCTTCAGATAACGCGATCACGAGAATGGGACGTACGGATGGACGGACAAACCGAAAACATAATGCCTCCTGCTACTTCGTAACGGAGGCATAACAATTATTACACATTAGAATACTTAGTGGCAAGTTTTAAAACTTTACAGCTGTGTAGGCATTTTAAAATTACTGAGTGCACAGATTTTTAAAGCCTCACTTTAAATTCATGAAAATATGCAAATAATGGTAATCTTATCAATTCCAACGTTTTGATGCAACTGGTAACTGAACAGATGGAGATTTAAAGCCAGTTATACAGAGTAGTTTGGGCCATCACATAATTTTTTCATCAATCTTTCAATGTCATACCTGTATTGTTATTTATAATGTGGCCTGACCCATATTTTACTATGACAATTCATAGTTACAATTTCTCAGAAATAAAATCATTTCAAATTGTCAGAGCATTAATATATATCACAGGTCTATCTTAAAGCATGACAGGAGGAAAATCAAATTTTCATAATTAACCCAAGTATACACTGTGGGAATAAAATAAAATGAACATGTAGGGAATATGTTGCATTTAACACTGTCCACAAACATTTTGGTAACGAGACCATTGGACCCACTTACAAGTGGCATTAAAAACATATTTGAAATTTGGATATAGCAAAAGCTTCTCTCTTTTTTCTGTTCTTTTTAATGGTGAGGGGGAGGCAGGCTGTAGGGTAAGGGGGGGGGGGGTTTGGAAGTAGAAACAGAGAATAAAGGCTCAATTGTGTGATTTTAGCCAAGTTTCTCAATGTGTAAGTTTGATCTATCGTTCCCACTGTTGTAGAAGGGCATTTACAATGAATGACAAACTGTCAATTTTTGCAATTTTTACTTTTGTACCTTGGAAGAAAAAATAATCAATCAAATGTGCTCACTCATTCCTAGAGTTTTTCTTTTGGTTCACCTACTAGCTTAAATGGCCATAACATTTCCTTTAATTTGATACATGCTATAATGCTGCATTGAATTTTCATTGAAGCTTCTGTAAAAAATCTGAATGGGAAAGTGAATTTACTTTCTTCTTTTTTTTTAGTTGAGTGTACTTAATTTGCCAATTACACTTTTATTGCGCACTGTGCGTTTTCCCCAAAGCTACATTCATGCTTGTAGCATGACTCAGCGAGTGAGGAGCGGCAACTCTGGATCTCTTTGTTTGATGCACGCCCAGCACACGCTCTGACCTCGTCCTAGAGTAGCCATGTTCAGCTACAGCAGCATCTTTGGTTGGTCTGCCAGATGTCAGACGTCTCCTTCCCCCCATTGCAGCTTTCCGTCGTGCAATCGCAGTTGGTTGTACACCAATGTTTGGTCCGTGTGATCCTAATGATGAACCAAGGAACCTGCGGGGAGCCAAGTTAGTTGTCCCATACTTTCCAAACATGAACATGGCTGACACCATATTATTATCAGTCATCTTTTGGAAAGTA